AATGCAAACTTATAGGCCGGACACATACGTCGGCCGAAACCAAAGGCCAGATACGCTGCCGAGTCGACCAATTGGTGTCGATTTGATTTGAGAAACCGGTCGGGTATGAACTGGTCGGGTTGGCTGTAGTAGTCGGTAGACGTGTGCAATGCTGAACGTGAAAACAGTATCGACCGATCTTTTTCGATGGTCACACCTAAAAAAATGGTTACGGGTTATGGTTACGGTATTTAAGTAAAAAAAATTAATATAATACATATATAAAGTCAAATCAAACAAAATTAAAATAATTATTATTGTTTATGTTAGTGTAGGGTTCGGGCAAATTACATCCATAGTATTATTATTATTATTTAAAAAGTTTCCTAATTTTCTAATAATTCCTGGAAATTCCCAGAGAATCTATTATGTGTTATATATTCCTATATATATAACCATAAATAACTTATTATATATATTTATAATTATTTGTTATTTAAAATCTTGTATTATAAACTATTTGTAAAAATGCAAGTGTTATTATTTTTAGATAGTATCACTAAATTCATTGAAATTAAATTTATAATTATTTTTTTAACAAATTAAGTTTTTTAGTGTGTGTGTATATATATATATATATTGTATTTATTGTAGAAATATATTCAAATATATATTTTCCATCCCTAAAGCTATAGGGAGGGAACATATTTTTATTATTATTATTCCAGGAATTTTATTATTAGGAAACTTCCCTTCCTTTAAAAAAAATTGCCCAAACTTTAAATTATTAGTAAATAATTTTTTTTTAAAAAATCCTGAATATTAATAATTAAATCTTTCAGTTAAATAACTATAACTAACCGGTTGTCTCATCTGTATAGTCCTGATTGGCTACCCGTCCGTCTCTATCGAAATTCATATGCAATCTAAATGTTTCCGCTATACAGGCATCCAAATAGTCAAGTCTGGCCAATGATTGCCAATCAAACAACTGATCAGCAATTGTTGTCGTAGTGTTGTCGGTGTTGTCGGTGTTATCGGTATTGTCCCGAAAACAGGTCATAATTTCATCGTAGACTCGTTGCTGACAATCCATGTTTACGGCCAACTCATAGATAACGGCTGTCATAAATAGATAGTGTGTCTCAAAGCTCGCCTGTAATAATGTAAACGAATTGGCGATCACTTCCTGTTTGGTTAGTATTAATTGATCTAATTTTGATTGATCTGTAAAATAATGAATTAATATTTATTATTACAATTAAAATTATTATAAATGTAAATCAAATGTATATATTAGATATATAATATATATATATATATATAACAATTAGGGTTCAGGGAAAATTCCCATACTAGTTTTTTTTATTTTCCAAAAGTTCCTTATGTTAACTGCTACCTGGGAATTAGCAGGCAATCTATTGACATGCTATCACATATTTTTATGGTTCAGGTAAAATTCCCTACCTTGATTATTAATTTTCAAATGTTACCTATGTTCCCTGCTCCCTGGGAATTCCCAGGGAACTATTTGCCTTATGCTATCATATATTTAGGGTTCAGGGAAAATTCCCTACCTTGATTATTAATTTTCAAAAGTTACCTATGTTTCTTGCTCACTTTGAAATTTACAGGAAATCTATTTCCTATTTTCCTGGAAAATTAGAGGGATTTTTATTAGGAAACTTTCCTCCCTGGGCAAAGTTTCCCGGGCCTCTAATAACAATATATACTGTATATATAGATATAATTTCCAAAATTTTTGTTTTGTTTAATTACCAGTTTTTTTGCCGATAATAAAATCCGGGCAACGATTGAGCATCGATTGAAAATAGTCGTCGTCATCGTTATCATTGTCGTTGTCATCCCTAACGTAGGTATCGGTAGATAAAATCATTTGTCGATTACTAAACTCCTGAACGGTTAGGTCAGCAAACAGGTCGAGCTCTTTGCTAGATATAAGGTCGTTAATATCGAGCACTTGTAGTATAAAATTCGGTAGTACACGACTGGCCAATATACGCCATTTTGATGGAAAAAATAAACGTTTAACTAGCTTGGTAAATTTAGTAAAATTATTGTGATTATTATTATTATTATAAACAGTATCATTTTGTTTCATCAATGAAAACAATACATTTCCCGATAAATCAATTGATTGATTAATGAAAACTTGTTTCATATCGACAATACTCGATAACTCCGGACCAACCATTTTGTCCAACGATTTTGTCAGTTCAGCTAAATTGCCGGAAATTTTCTTAACATGCGATCTAAGTTTCCGATCGGTAAACAGTGTCCTAATGACGGCCCGCATCCGTAGCCAACTATCGCCGCTTGCATTGTCAATGGTATGACTGAAAACCGGATGAACTGTCGGCGAAAATAATGGTGTAATTGATTTGCCAAATGTTTGGAAATCTTTGATCAAAATATTTTTAATTAACTTTGGATCCGATGTAACCATAATTGGCTCATTTCCATCAAATACACTATTGATTTGTTTTATATATATATATATAATTTTAAAGATTTTTTTTTCAAAAAATAATAATAAATTAATTACAATTAAATTAAAAAATTAAAAAATTAAATTAATTTTCTAATACAGACAATAATTTATATATAGACTTAAAGTATATATTTTTCGTACCCATAGGTCGGTCCATATTTCTGACGTCTTTCTCTATCGATGACTGGAATCGGACGAAACAACTCCTCGAATGTATTTCCAAACCATATCCAGGGTTTCGGTCCGTTTAGGCCTCTGTCCGACCAATAGTTATAATTACGGTTTAGATAACTAAAAAATTTTGTTTTTATTTAATATAATTAATTATATTATCACTTAAATTATTATTTTTTTATTTTTAATATATAGTGATAAAATTTGATATATATTTTCAAAAGATTTAAAATAAAATAAAATTAAAATATTAAATTTTAAAAAATATTATGTTATAGTCTTACCAGTAAAAAATTATTAATATAATACTAATTATTAATAATAACATTTTTGTTATAATAGTTTGTCTCTATGTTTTTTTAAATGATATTATTGATTAAAATAGTATTTTTATTTAAAAAAAAATACAAATATTTATTATTCTTATATATTATACAATTGTCATTACAAACACTTATTTAGGATTATTACAAATACTAATAAAATAATTTTATTATTAATTTATGTAATTTTTTTATTGAATTTATTTATTAAATAATTTATTAGATATTTGACTTGAATTTACTGAATTTACTGAATTTAATTGATTTGAATTTTTTTTATTAAAAATAATTTATTAGATATTTGACTTGAATTTGACTGAATTTAATTGATTTGAATTTTTTCTATTAAAAATAATTTATTATCATATTTATAGAAAAATTCTTTAAATAATTTATTAGATATTTGTTGTGTATATTGTTTATACACTTATTGATTGTTAATTATAGTTATTTTTCTAGATAGAATTTTTTAATTATTAAATAATATAATATACAATATACATATATATGACTATATTTTTTAAATATTTACATCAATAGTTTTTATTAAAGTATATATACTTTAAAACAACTTTTTAAATATTTATAATTAATCTTTAATAAGCAAATCAATAGTATAAAAATAAAAATTTATAATAGATATACATTACTAGTATAAAGTTTAATAAAATTAATTACACAATTAAAATGTTTATTAAGTTAAAATATTTAATTATTATAATTTTTAAAAATCATGATAATTAAAATACCTTTAAATATACTACTTATTAAATGATAAATAAAATTATAGATATCGTCAAAAAAATTAATAATTGGTATTATTTTTAAAAAATTTTACATTATATATTCAAAAAATTTAAATATATTAAATTGAAAAAATAAATGTGTTTTTTTAAAATAAAGTTATTTAATTAACTACTAATCGTTTTTCAATTTTCAAATACAATTTTTCGGGACAATAGGTATAGTGATCGACAATCGGATTGGTTTTAAATACGGTTTGGCCATCAATCGGTACAAACTTATACCTAACCAGCAAATGTGCCATGGTCAATTTGATGGCCATCAGTCCAAATTTATAGCCGGGACACATACGTCTACCTAAACCAAACGGCATATATGCCGAGTCAACCAATAGGTGTTTGTTTTGTTTGACGAACCGATCGGGTCTGAACTGGTCGGGCATTGGATAGTAATCGGGACACATCTGTACGGCTGAACGCGATATCAGGATTAGCTGATCTTTTTTGATGGTAACACCTAATTATATATATATATATACATAGTATATATGATATATATATTGACAAAAAATAATAATAATAGATAAGTCAAACCGGTTGTCTCGTTTATAAAAAAATAAATATTATAATTACATTATATTTATATTATATATATATTTTATATCATATAAATATTGATATAAAATTTATATAAAAAATAATGTAATACTCTATTAATAAAAACTATTTATTATTAAAAAAATATTACTCAGTTTATAATTATTATATACATTATATAAAAAATAAGAAAAAATAATTATTATATTTAATAATATTCATATATATACCAGTATATGATACTAACTAACCGGTTGTCTCCTCCGTATAGTCTTGTTTGGCTATACGTCCGTCTCTATTGACAGCCGCGTGTAGTCTCAGTGCTTCCGATATACAGGCATTCAAATAGTCAAGTTTGACCACTTGTTCCCAATCAAACAACAACTGGCCGTTTGTCTGGTTGCTGTCATCACCACCGAAACAGTTGGCAATCAGTTCGTCGTAGACTCGTTGTTGACAATCGGGATTTATGGCCAACTCGTACATAATGAATATCATGGATAGATAGTGGCCGTCAAATGCACCGAAAACTAGCGTAAATATATTGGCCACAACTATATCTTTGTTTATCATCATTTGCTGATCCATTGATGCTATTTGATTACAGTATATAATACAGTAATAATTATTTTAAAAACTCATTTTAATTTTTTTCTTAATTTTAACAATCAATCATTTTTTGGATGTCTTACCCGATTGTGTTTTATTGCCGATAAATTCCGGACACCGATTGAGTAGCGATTGAAAAAAGTCATCGCAGATATGGGTACTTAAAAAATTAGGTTTTTTATTATTATTATTATTATTATTACGGCGTTTAGCTAACTCGCCAACTATTAGATCGGTAAAATCGTCGAGAGCTTCGGTAGATATAGTCGATGTCATATTAAGGGCTTGGAGTATAAATTTCGGTAATACTAGTTGGGCTAATATACGTGATTTTTTCGGGAAAAATAAACGTTTCATAATCTGATTGAATCTATTATTCGGATCATTGAATGTGTTTTGTTTCCACGAAAACATGACTAAACCTAACATATCTATTGTCTGATTGATAAACAGTTGTCTAATGTCGACCACCGCTGCCGCCGCCGACTGACCTACCAATTGATTGTCCAATTCATTGGTTAAATCAACTAAATTGTTGTCAATTTTTTTGGCCAACGATTCAACAGTGCGATCGGTAAACACTGTTTTCATGACCAGCCGTATACGTTGCCATAGTTTGTCGTCAGTGTTGTCGATAACATACCTATAGATTGGATGATCGTATGGCGTAACCACTGTCGGTCTTTGGCCAAACTTATGGAAATCTTTGATCAAAATATTTCTGATTAACTGCGGATCCGATGTCACCATAATTGGCTTATTTGATTCAAATACACTGGATTTGTATAATAATAATAATAATAATAATAAAAAATTGAAAAATTTTTAATTAATAAACTTATTTATAGTTTTTGTTTTGTTTTTTTCATATAATTACCCATAAGTTGGTCCATATTTTTGACGCCTCTCTCTATCGATGACCGAATTCGACCGAAACAACTCCTCGAATGTATTTCCAAACCATATCCAGGGTTTCGGTCCGTTTAGGCCTCTGTCCGACCAATAGTTATAATTACGGTTTAGATAACTAAAAAATTTTGTTTTTATTTAAAATCATTAATTATATTATCACTTAAATTATTATTATTTTTTATTTTTAATATATAGTTATAAATTTAATATATATTTTAAAAAGATTACAAATAAAACAAAATATAAATAATATTTTTCTCAAAATATTATGTTATAGTCTTACCAGTAAAAAATTATTAAAATTATAATAATTAATAATAATAATAACATTTTTGTTATAATAGTTTGTCTCTATGTTTTTTTTAAATGAGATTATTGAGTAAAATAAGTATTTTTATTAAAAAATATTTATTATTATATATACAATTGTCATTACAAACACTTGTTTAGGATTATTACAAATACCAATAAAATGATAATTTTAATTTATGATTTTTATTTATTGAATATATTAATTATATTTGACTTGAATTTTTTTAGATTTTTACTGAATTTTATTAATTTTATTTTATTTTAATTAAAATTAATTAATTATCATATTTATGTTTATTAGAAAAAATTCTTTCAATAATTTATTAGATATTTGACTTAAAATATAGCAATTATATTGTTATACACTTATTGATTGTTAATTATAATTATTTTTCTATTTTTCTGGAATTTTTTAATTATTAAATAATATTAATTACTATATTTTAGTAACTAACTAATTAACTAACAAACATTTTTTTATATTGATGATTAGACATATATTAAAAAAAAATATTTGCATCAAAAGTTTTTAGTAAATTTACACAAATTATATTATATATATATATATATATATATTGATATCTAAAATTTTAGTGTTTACTTTAAGTCTATAATTTGTGTAAATTTACTAATAATTATTAATGCAAATATATATATATTTATATTTATATACAGACTGTATAATACAGTATATAAAATCGCTGTAAAATCCCTTTAACAGGTTTTTTTTTTAAAAAAAAATTAAATTAATATAATACTAATAAATAAAAGTAACATATGAAACTTTTAAGTTATGTATTATATTTAATATACATTTATAATTAATTAATTCAAAATCAAATATATAGAATTTATTCTTCTAAAATAATAATAATAATAATAGAAAATTTAAATTAATTACTTAATAAAAATTATTTATAATAGTTTATAATACAATAATTATTATATTCTATAAAGTTATATATTATTTATTATTATTGTTTTTATTATTAATAAAAGAAATTTTTTACTATTAGAGAGTTAATTATGATTACTGTTATACACTAAACACAATGGCTTAGGTATACCATTGAACCCATAGTTTCCATAGTTGTCAGTATAGGCGCCCATATTATCAAACAATAGCCATTCACCGGCAAACATCTCGACCATTGAACAGCTATCTTGAATACAGTCCCGACTACAACATGTCGGTCCCCATAGTATACTGTTATAGTTTTTCCGTTTAAGACTATCATCCGATGCCAGCAATGGTATGGGTTTATAGGTTTTCTGGATATAAATTGAATCTCTGAACGAACCGTAAGCGCCGTCATTCAAGTAATACATAATTTTTTCGATATTATTTTGCCCATCGATTACCAACTTTTTCGATAATATTCTGGTCAGTAGTGTTACGGCTGACTCGCAAAAGTAAGTGCCCGGTTCAGCCATAATCGTTAGTCTATCGCCATAATCGCCAAAATAGTCATCGATAGCCCGGTTGACTACAAGAGCTATTTGTTCAATAGTAGTACCGCCGCTGCTATTGTCCGGCAAATTAGATATCAGCGACTGATGATGACTAGTACTACCGGGAAAACCGCCGCCAATGTTCAGTACTGTCATCTGATGATAGCCTATAGTTGCGGCCAAATCAAACACTTGTCGGGCACTGGCAATAGCCTGGTCGTACAAATGGGCATTTTGTGCACCACTACCCACATGAAAGGCTACACCTGTTACCTGAAGATCCTTATCTTTAGCTGCCATCATCAGGTCGTATACACCGTCCAATTGGAGGCCAAACTTATCATTCAGTTTAACTTTTGAATCCGTGTCATCAACTTTTATACGCACCAGTAGTTTGGCATCGGAATGCATAGACTGAATATCATATAAATCGTCCAAACAGTCGACAGTCATCAGTCTAATACCAGAATCGCGTGAATACTTAAGCGATTCACGGGTTTTGCATGTATTGGCAAATATGATTGACTCGGGTTTGGCACCCAATCCTATCAAGCGTTGCATTTCATACTTAATAATAATAACAAACAAACAAATTGTGATTAAATAATATAGATTTAAAAATAAAATTAATTTATAATAAACAATACAAACAACTAGCTATACCTGACTGGCACAATCAAATCCAACTCCCAGTTCAATAAGCACTTTAAGCAATTGTTGACTGGGATTAGCTTTGACGGCATAATAGGGACTAATTTTAGGCATTAGTCGAAACCATTGTCGATATTTTAGGACCAAATCGTCGACATTTAGTATACTATAAGCCAATTGACTTTTGTTTAGATCGATATTAGTTTTGATAAACTCTAAAATCTTTTAAATATAATTACTTTATAAATATTGTATCAATTATATTATTAATTAATTATTTAATAATAAATTTTCAAAAAATCTACTATTTTTTTTGGTTACTACCGCTTTGTTTTCCATTGTAAAAAAAATTATTATTGAGTATTTTTAAATATTATATTTATATGAATAAATTTAATAAATTAGTTATTATTAAATGTATTACTAAAATACTTATGAATGATAAAAAAAATACTTATTTTTAAAAATACATATATTTAGTATTTTTATATACAATCTGTGAATTAAAAAAAAATTATTAGGATTATTACATATATATATATCAATAAAATTATATTTTAATTTATAATTTTTATTGAAGTTAATTGAACTTATTTTAATTCAAATAATGCATTATCATATTTAGGTAATATAGACACACAAACACATACATACATACATACATACATACATACATACATACGTACACTAAAAAAATAAAATCTTTCAATAAGTTATTAGATATTTGATATTAATTTAGCATTTAAATTGTGATAGAAATTATTAATTTTTTTTGTTTGTTTTACTGATATTTAGTTTAACTTAATTACTGATATACTTAGGGTTGGCAAAAAAAAGAGAAAAATTTCTAAAATTATAGAGAAATTTCTAGAAAGTTTCTAAAAGAAATTTCTATCTATGGGATCCCCATGATTAATTTTCATATCTCGATATTTGCTATCATATAACAATACATTACAAATTATTATTATTAATATTTTAATTATTAATTAAAGTAAAAAAAATTAATTAATTAAACTATGATATATATAATAAAATTTTGCAAAACTGATTATTATTAAATAATTATAATTATTTTATATATATATATATATATATTGGTATCCCATTTTGTATAGTACTGTACTATACTGTATGATATATATACTGTAGTATTATATCTTATTAAAAATACTGGTATTACACAATAACTATAGATATGGGGATCCCATAGAATAACATTAAAGTTAAATTTCAATAGAAATTTATTCATGAGAAAGTTTCTGGAAACTTTCTATTTGTCCATCTCTAGATATACTATATAAATATAATATAATTAATATATTGAATATAAAAACTTTAAACTAATCTTTAAAAAAATGTTATTGCTTATATACTATATATATATATATATATATATATATATTAATTATTTAAGTTATTAAAAAAATTCACCTACAACAAATTAAATTATTTTCTCCACATGAAATGTAATTGAATTTAGTATTTTTATTGTTATAAACTATTTTGTATTTTATATTTTTTTTAAAAATACAAATATTTAGTATTGTTAATAGATAAATTTTATTTTAATTTCTAATTTTTTTTTAATAAAGTTAATTGAATTAATTTCAATTTAAATAATGAATTATCATATTTAGGTAATATAGTCACATACATACATATCCTTCAATAAGTTATTAGATATTTGACATTAAATTAGCATTTAAATTATGATTCAAATTATATATATTTTTTGTGTTAATTTACTGATATGTCTAATATAATCATTGATAATATAATTAATATATTTAATATAAACTGGAAAAATTTTGAAAAATGTTATTTCTTATATATATATATATATATATAAATTATTTAATTTATTAAAAAAATACACCTACAACAAACTAAATTATTGTCTCCACGTGTAATGTAATTCAATTAAGTATTTTTATTGTTATAAACTATTTTGTATTTTATTTTTTTTTTAAATACAAATATTTATTATTCTTATATACAATCTGTGAATTCAAAAAATTATAAAAATTATTACTTATATAATATCAATAAAATTTTATTTTAATTTCTATTTTTTTTTTATTGAAGTTAATTGAAATTATTTTAATTTAAATAATGCATTATTATATTTAGGTAATATAGTCATACACATACATACATACATATCTATCTATCTATCTATCTATCTATCTATCTATCTATCTATCTATCTATCTATCTATCTATCTATCTATCTATCTATCTATCTATCTATCTATCTATCTATCTATCTATCTATCTATCTATCTATCTATCTATCTATCTATCTATCTATCTATCTATCTATCTATCTATCTATCTATCTATCTATCTATTTGCATCAATTTTTTTGTAAAGTAAGCAAAATATAGACTAAAATTTATTCATATATTTATATATAATAGTAAATAAAAGTAATATTTTTTCTATAATTTTTTTTAATGAAATACTAATATATAATATATATTATATACAATTGTTACTACAAATAATTATTATTACAATTATTACTATTATATAAAATTTTAATTTAGAAATTAAATAACAAAACTTTAAAATAATTTTAAAAAATTATTTATTTTCATTTTTTAGAAATTAAGATACATATTTAAAATTTATAAAAATTAGTTACTAAAAGCTAAACAATTTTTTTTCATTAATAATTTTAATTAACGCAAAAAAATAACTAATTTAATAAAATAAATTTTTATTAAGCATAATTTGCATAACAAATTTATTAGATATTATAATAATAATTTTGAAAATTAATATAATATATATATATAAAGCAAAATAATCTAATAATATAAACTAAAGTATATATATATAAAAAATCTAAAAATTTTATTATTGTACTTTATTTAAAATAATTGGCAATAATTTATTAACTATTAATACTATATTAACTAAAATCATATATGATATACAACAATTTAAAACATTTAATTGTTAATCTAAATTAATCTAATCATTTAGTTTGGACACCGTTTGGATAGATAAAAGTCGACTGTCCCGTGCATATGGCCTTACAGGTGCCGCTAAACTCCCAGTGTTCGAACAATGGCCGCGAAATGGTCATCGGTTTGTCCACACACTGGCCTTTTGGCGGCAAAAATATGGACCAACCATGAAGTTTGGTGCCGGCACAGGGACCCGATCCTATCATACCAACTTCACGTAGATATTGTTCACCTAATAATTTATATAAAAAAAAAATTAAATTAAAATTTTAAAAAAAACTAAATAAATATATTAAACAAATTTTACTTATTTTTGCATGATCAATTAGTATAACGTTAATTATTTTGTTGTTGTTAATTTAATTATAAAAATTAATAATAAATATCTTGATCTTAGAGTATTATTGAGTCTCACCCCTACCCTACCCATTGCTCTACTCTACTATACCCTAATATACATATATTATATATATATATATATACACTGTATATAACTTATTAATTGATATTTGATATGGGACAGTGTTATACTAAAATTATCTATAATTTTTTTTAGGTTAAAAATATATATTTTTATAAAATTAATAAAATAGCCTTGTTAAAAAATATTACCATCAATAATCGTAATGATTTCATTTTTGCTAATCAATACGGTTTCAATGTTTCCATTACCCATAACAACCATATACTCCATGTCCTCATAATTTTCAACAATAATACCATTGCATGTCATATTGATATTGTAATCAAGTGTACGGAAAATGTTTTTAAAATCTAGTTTACTGTTAGGTTTACTAATACAACTAAACTGTTCAAAAAAGTTGCCATCAATTGTTGCTTTTGTTGTTATGGCTATGAAAACAATATTATTAATAATAATTAGTAAATTTTTATTTAAAAAAAAAAATACTTAATAATAGATAACAAGTTTCTATAAAACATTAGAGACTAACTATAATCTGTAATTATAGTCTATAACTATTAACTAATATAATCTAATTATTTTCAATAAAATATTACTTAAATATTGATAAATAATTTTATTAATTATATATATTTATATATATGATAGTTTAGTTTTACATAAATTGTTTTTTATAAATTTTTTTTAAATTATTAAAATTTGTTTGTTTGTTTCTACATACTCAGATTATTGAATTTGTTGTAGTTTCCTAAATTGTTAAATTAAAAAATATAAAAATAATTAACAATATTAACAATAATATTATATTATTAATAACAATGATATTTTTAAAGTATTAATACTTAACCATTTATACCAAGATCAATATTATCTGCAAAACAAACAATTATTTCAATACTAATTAAGACTATAGATATTAGAATTTTTGAAAACATTTTTTTAATTTTTTTTTGGTTTTTTAAAATTCTTAAATTAATAATATTAAATGTTTTTTTTTTGTAACAAATAGTTTATTATATATTTATACTTTTTTTTTAAAAAAAAATTATTTGAATACTATGGTTACAATGCAATAAAATATTATTAATTTATGATTTTCATTGAATATATAATAATCTATTGAAATGTTTATGTAATAAAAATTTTTTTAAAAATAATTTATTAGTTTTTTTGACTTGAATTTAGCATTTATATTGCTATAAAATATTTGTTTATTGATAATTTATTTTATTTTTGTAAGGAATTTTTACTATTAAGTAATATACATCTATATATATATTATATTTATTAACATTTTATTTAAATAGTAAATTTAAAAAAAAATTAATTATTATTTTAACCATTTTATTATATTATTAAATCAATAATTAAATTTAATTAAAACCAAAACTTTATTATTAATTAGATATATATATAATTAAATTTAAATTAACAAATTAAATATTCATAAAGTAATTCTTGTTGTTTAGTAATAATTTTAATTACTTTACAGTTTATTTATTTTAATTATAATTAAAAACATTTTAACTTAAAAAAAAATTTAATTAATTATTTAGATAAATAAAGATCTGTTATTTAATTTAATTTTTAATTTAATAAAATATAATAACAATGTATATTTTGTTTTTATTATAGAAATATTTTTCAACTATTGTATAAAATTTAGATTTATAAAACAAAAACATTTAAAATTATTTTTACAATTATATTAATAGTTATTTCTTTATATGTAATTATATTATAATTTATTTAATTATTTTCTAAACGTGTAATTGATCTTTACTACACATATTTTAAATTTTTTATTTATAATTTTTTATTATTGCAACATTTGTATAATATTAAGTATATGAATAAACATTTATTATTATTATTATTATTATCATCATAAATATGTCATAAAACGTGTGTGTGCTATGTATCACTAATTAATAATAAATTATAAATATCAACAATTTTTTATTATAATTACATAATAATTAAAAATTTGCAAATAATTTTATCCATATATTTAAAACATATGTGTATAGTAAAATATTTATTTTATTTATCGTAATTAATTAATTATTTACATTATTTACAACATTTTTGGCAAACCTATTAATTTTATAACTGAATTATTTTACTAAATGTATTAAATAGTATAGAAAGTTAAGTGTATTTATAATAATTAAGTGTATATATTATTTTTTACAATTAAAAAGTTTATAATAATATTAGATTAAATAGTATAGTTTTTTTTAAATATTTAACTATAATAATTTTTTTATATTAATAAATTTATATATATACAGTACTAATTAACAATTAATAAATACTATTTAATATTTAAAAATATATTTATTAAACATAATATTAATAATATATATATATATGTTTAAGGTTGAATAGTTTGTAATAAATAAAGAAAAAAATAGATTCCCTGAAAATTTTCAGGGAAAGTTGACAATTTTTATTATATAAAAAAATAAAACAAAAAGGGAATTTTCTGGAACTTTATATAAATTTAAGATCAAACGATATAAATCTAAAAATAATTTTTTTAAAGCACAAAATATTATTATATAAAATAATAGAAAATAATAATTTTGTAAATAATTTTTTTTTGTAATAAACATGTATCTAAATTAAATTATATATATATATATATATATAAATAATTAATCTAATTAATAAATAAATAATTATATATATATATACTGTATATCTAAAATTTTTATTATGCATTTAGAAACCACAATAACTACATGTATAATATAATTATTTTTTATTATCATAATCTCAATACAAAAAACTTATGGTTTGATTCCCGGTTGATAGGCCAGTGCCGACTGTCCATTGCATTTGGTCTGACAATTGCCCGAAAGCTGCCAACGTTCGAACAATGGCCGCGAACTGGTCATCGGTTTGTCCACACACTGACCCGGCGTTTGGGGCAAAAATATAGCCCAACCCTTGAGTTGAGTACCGGCACAGGGACCCGATGTTATGACACCCACCTCATGATAATAGATTTCACCTGTATTTTTGATTGATTAAAAAATAATAATGTTTTGATATAATAACTGAAATATATATATATATATATTAATTAATAGTTAACTATTACCGTCAATAATAGTAATGATAATATGTTTTTGTTTCAATGTAATAGCTATGGTCTGTCCATTACCCAGTAGGGCATCAAACACTAGATCATCGTATTGTTCAACAATCATACCATTACAGGTCATCTCAACGTTCAACGATTCCGTAAACATTATCTCCTGTATGTCTAGACTACTGTCCTCATGACTGACACATTCAAACAGATTCAAAAACGTGCCGTTAATGTCAATCATCGGTGTTATAGCTGTTAATCAAATAAATAAATAAATTAATTAATTAATTAATTTTTAAAACTATATATTTTTGTTCATAAAATTAAAAACTTTTTTATACCAAAATTCTCAAATTTGTTGTAATTTCCTATTAATCAAATAAAATAAGTTAATTAGAATTTGATTTTTATAAGTTATTAAATTAAATAATATATAATATAATATAATTATATGTATTATAATATATATATATATATATATATTAACAAACCAGGAATTATTGTTTCCAGTGATTGGGAATAAACAACAATTGTTTTAATATTTAATACTAAAACTAGTAATAATATTAAACTTATTGAACGCATTGTTAGTTTTTTTTTTAAATTTAATTATTATATACAGTAGGATATAATATAATATAACTAAATAAAACTAATGAAACTTTTATACTTTATGTGATATATATATATATATAAATCGATTTCAAAAGTGCTTGACTCGGTTTTTTTTGTTGACTATAACTATGAAAGTTAATTGTTTATATTAATAAAAATAATTATTGTTACTATGGAACGGTTGTCACATTTTAGTTATATTACAGCTCCGGGATTCGGGGACAGGGATGTATCATATACCTAAAAAAATAACTATAAGCTATATTGTAATTTTATTTATTTTTTTTTTAAAAAGCATACTATATTAGATACAAAAATTTATAATTAAAAAAAACCGTGCCAAGCACATTTGAAAATGATTTACTATTTTATATATATACATTATAATAAATTCTATATGTTAAATACGTGTATAAATTTATAGAAATATTTTATCGATAAATCATATAAATTTATCTAAAAAATATGTTAATTCATATATTTAATAACTAACAAAAATTTAATATATTTTTTTTATTTAAGTGATTATTACTTAATTAATAGTACAATCATTGCATACCAACAACAACAAAGTATCTTAATAATTATTTTAATTAATAATAGTTTTATTTAATTAGTAATTTTTAAACATTTATTTTTTAAAAAAAATAAATAATAACTTTCAAAAAGCACTGTTTAGACTAAACTTTAAATTAAATACATATAATAAACAACTAAAATATTAGTTTTATTTGTGAAATTTTTTCTGTAATCTAGTTTTTAATAGTTTTTAATAATTATTTTTTAATTAATAATAGTTTCATTTAATTATTAATCTTTAAACATTTAATCAGTTATTGCTAATAAGATGACGATGCTTAATTTTATATTGAATTGATTGATGTTTTGAATGATTATTATCATCCACATCATCATCATCAAGGTAAAAATGATAGCGATAAAACAAATTGGCCAGTATCAATCTGATAATAAGCCAGGAAAACGGTTGGCCAGCGCAGGCACGCGGACCGGTACCGAACGGTAAAAATGTGTACGGTTTAATTTTGTCCCTATTTTGTCCCATAAATCTATCGGGATCGAAACGGTCGGGTTCGGGGAAATAATCGGGATTCATATGAATCGGAGACATCGGAAACTCAATGAGTTGTCCGCGTCTAACAGTAATACCGGTGTCGGCCAACCGATAATCTTCGGCAGCAATACGACTATCGCGTAAGTCATTTGGCGTCAAACGCAGCGATTCATTGATAACGGCCTCCAAATACTTGACTTTGACGGACATGTCGTACGTAATGATATGTTGGTCACTGTCCGCCGCGACATTACTGCTACTACTCGACAGCGCGTATTGTTTGGCCAACTCGTCGTACAGTCGCCGCTGTGATTGTTGGTCGCGGGCCAGTTCATAGATGGCCTGACCAATGACTTCGACCATAATATTGTAGCCGTCTAGTAGTCCTCCGTATAGATTGCCGACCACTTCATCGTGTGTTAGAACTGTTTGTTGTCTATCCTCTGTCTCTAAGATTTTTTTTTAAATAAAAATAATAAGTTTTTTTCAACAAATATACAGTAATTGTGTTTTTGTTAACAAAAAATACTTTTGAATTCAGACATAAATGATAGTAAGTCTTCTAAAAAGTCGTTTTGTTGTTCAACACCTGCGGCCTCATCGGCGGCCAGTCGTCTGCCAATCAGTTCATCGATAATATTGACGTAACTATTGGCCAAACCGTTTGGTATCATAAACGATATGCCAAACAATCTTAACAAAAATTTCGGTAACAATACTCTCAATCTGGCCAACAATGTCGACGCATCGATAGCTTCCATAACATAACCGACCGATTTGTTTAGTGGTTTATCGCTGGGAAACCCGGTATCTTGTGATTGAAAACAATCGATCATCAAATACATGATAAATGATTTCATTGTTTTTCTGAGACCACCAAACGTTTCAGTTATGGTTCCACCGCTGTCTGACACCTGTTTGTCTAATACATTCATCAGCACCTGGTATGGGATGTAGAGATCGGGGGGTTGAGGTGGGGGTTGGTAGGGGAGGGTAGCAAATAATTAAAAGTTTTTTAATAAAAATTTCCATTGAGTTTCCAAAAGTTTCTAGAAAATTTCCCATGGAATATAAATTTCTATAAAAAAAAATTTTTTTTTTAATTTTATTGTTATACAATTTGGATACTACACCTCATATCTATAGATATTGTAATACTATATACGTAATAATAGTATACTAATACATGTACAAAACTACTATACAAAATGGGATACATATATATAATATATTTAATTTTTTTAAAATTTAATATTTAATTATTCATTGTCAAAACAATGCATACTTACATTGATAACAAAATTAAGATAGGGATCCCATAGATAGAAATTTCTTTTTTAGAAACTTACAAGAAATTTCTTTTAGAATGTTTCAAGAAATTTTTATTAGAAATTTCTTTTTTATAAACTTTTTTAAAATTTGATTTTTAGAAACTTTTTAAAAATTTCTTTTATAAGAAACTTTCTAGAAATTTCTTTTATAATGTTTCAAGAATTTTTTTAGAAATTTTATAGAAATTTCTTTTTTAGAAACTTTTTAGAAATTTTTAACTTTATTGTTATACAATAGTATCTCCATATCTATAGCTATTGTAATACTATACTGTACATATAATATTATACATGTACATGTACAAAAATTTCTTTTAGAAACTTTCTAGAAAGTTCTCTAATATTTTTATAAATTTCTCTTTTATTTTTTTATCCAACACTACCTGTATGTCATCCGTTACTTTCGTAGACATCCGTTTCATTCGCGATGAAGACATAAGCGTTTTATATATTTTTCTCGTTTGTTTCCAAGTATTATCGTCACTGACGGCAACATTTTGACACAAAACCGGGTGCTCTGAATATGACATAACCGGATCCCGTCCGCGGTTATTGAAGTAACGGAAATCGGTAACACAAACACGTTTGATGAGCTCCGGGTCAGTGATTGTCACCACTGGTGCGTTATATTTATATACACTGTTTATAATTAAATACTATATTGAATTATACTTATTTTAATTGTTATAAATTAAATTGTATTTATTAGCATAATAATTATTTATTAGTTATATAATATATATAGCATACTAAATACTATATACAGTATATTATATATATATATATATATACAGTATATTATATATATATATATATATACAGTATATTATATATATATATATACAGTATATTATATATATATACAGTATATTATATATATATACAGTATATTATATATATATACAGTATATATTGTTTTATACATAATTTAATCTATTACTATTAAACTAAATCTATTAAATAATGTATATTTTTAATGTAAAAAAATAATAATAAATAATAAACATATACCCAAATGCTTTGCCATATTTTTTAGACCATTGAAAATCAATTTTATTGACATTTTTGGATAACCGAAACAATATGTTTCCGTAACCGATGACCGGTTTGGGACCGTTTACACCCAGTTTAGACCAGTAATCAAAATTACGAGTTAAATAACTATTTTCATATAATAAAGGAGATATAAAAAAAATTAAAAATATAATTATTTCATTTAAATAAAAAATAAAAAATTTACCAGTAAATAGCTATAATAATAGCTATTATTGTTAAAATAATATAGTAAATAGCCATTATTTTATTTTATAATTTTCAAAAAAAAAATAATTCAACAGGGCCTGTTTTGCTACTGGGTTTATATCTTTATAAACAAGTTTCATCAAATTATAAAAGTAATCGAAAACATATGTAAAACAATTAATTAAAATAATTAAAATAATTTTTTAACAATAAATGACTATCACAAAATATAGGTAGAGTCTAAAAAAACTAATTTTTGGTCATAAAACTAAATCTCTGATATACTAAAAAACATTTAATTAAAATCACTTTTACAGTTTATTAATAAGTAAAATAAAATTTTAAATTAAACATAGTTCAGTATATTATACAATTTATAAAAATTTTAATAAATTATATTGATTAACATTTACAGAAATTAAAATATTATAATATAATTAAATTATAAACTGTAACAGCTAAAAATTATGTTATTTTATATATTCAGCGTTTTTTTTAGTCTTTACCCAAAATATATCATGTATATTCTATAATAAATCAATATTATAATTAAATATAATTAATTCATTTTTAATAATTGCATTATAATTTATTTTATTTATTAATTGTTTAGTTAAGATTTTTATGTATTTTTTATAAATAAAAATATAAAACTAAATTTAAGTACCATGATAAATAAAAATTAATTTTATATACAATTTGTATATATGTTTATATAATATTTATTAACAAAATTATTATTTTTACGCAATCTATTAAAAAGCAATTTATTATTAAACTTTAGTTTAGAATACACATACACATACACATACACATACACATACACATACACATACACATACACATACACATACACATACACATACACATACACATACACATACACATACACATACACATACACATACACATACACATACACATACACATACACATACACATACACATACACATACACATACACATACACATACACATACACATACACATACACATACACATACACATACACATACACATACACATACACATACACATACACATACACATACACATACACATACACATACACATACACATACACATACACATACACATACACATACACATACACATACACATACACATACACATACACATACACATACACATACACATACACATACACATACACATACACATACACATACACATACACATACACATACACATACACATACACATACACATACACATACACATACACATACACATACACATACACATACACATACACATACACATACACATACACATACACATACACATACACATACACATACACATACACATACACATACACATACACATACACATACACATACACATACACATACACATACACATACACATACACATACACATACACATACACATACACATACACATACACATACACATACACATACACTTGAAAATATATATAATATGTAATAAAATAAATAATTTTATTACTGATAAGTGAATAATTAATGTATAGTACAGTCATTGTAGTTAATGTTTTTTATAAAAAAAAACAAATAATAAATTTTGATTCAGAAAAATATGAATATTTACATCATATGAATAGTTAAAGCGATTCACGGGTTTTGCATGTATTTGGCAAATATGATTGACTCCGGGTTTTGACACCCAATCCTATATTAAGCGTTGCATTTCATAATTTTTAATGGATAGCAAACAAACAAACAACAATTTTAATTAAAAATATATAGATTTAAATATAAAATAATAATAAACCATATATATATATATACTGGCACAATCAAATCCAACTCCCAGTTCAATAAGCACTTTAAGCAATTACTGATTGGGATTAACTTTGAGACGGCATAATAGGGACTAATTTTATACATTAGTCGAAACCAGTGTCAGTATAAGCCAATTGACTATTGTTTTTAGATCGATATTATTAATTTTGATAAACTTTAAAATCTTTTAAATATAATTATTTCAAAAATAGTACTATAAATTATATTATTAATTTATTATTATTTAATAATAAATTTTTAGAAAATTACTATATTTTTTTTGCTACAGCTCCCGGATTCGGGAACAGAGATGTATTATATATCTTTTTTAAAAAAAAAATTATAAGATATATTGTAATTTTATTTATTTTTAAAAAAGCATAATATACTAGATACAAAAAGTTATAGTCATAAAATATAGTTATAAAAAACAAATTATTTTAATTAAATTCTATTTGTTAAATACGTGTATAAATTAGTAGAAATATTTTATCGATAAATCATATAAATAATAGTTTTATTTAATAATAGTTTTATTTAATAATAGTTTTATTTAATAATAGTTTTATTTAATAATAGTTTTATTTAATAATAGTTTTATTTAATAATAGTTTTATTTAATAATAGTTTTATTTAATAATAGTTTTATTTAATAATAGTTTTATTTAATAATAATGAAAAAAATAAATAATAAGTTTCAAAAAGCGCTGTATAGACTAAACTTTACATATAATAAACAACTATACTAATAGTTTTATTTGTGAAATTTTTTCTGTAATTTAGTTTTTAATAATTATTTTTTAATTACTAATAGTTTCATTTAATTATTTAATTATTAATTTTTAAACATTTAATCAGTTATTGCTAATAAGATGACGATGCTTAATTTTATATTGAATTGATTGTTTTGAATGATTATTATTATTATTATCATCAACAAGGTAAATATGATAGCGATAAAACAAATTGGCCAGTATCAATTTGACAATAAGCCAGACAAACGGTTGGCCAGCGCAGGCACGCGGACCGGTACCGAACGGTAAAAATGTGTATGGTTTAATTTTGTCCCTATTTTGTCCCATAAATCTATCGGGATCGAAACGGTCGGGTTCGGGGAAATAATCGGGATTCAAATGAATCGGATACATTGGAAACTCAATTTGTTGGCCGCGTCTAACAGTAATACCGGTGTCGGCCAACCGATAATCTTCGGCCGCTATACGACTTTCGCGTAAGTCATTTGGCGTCAAACGCAACGATTCATTGATAACCGCTTCCAAGTACTTGACTTTGACGGACATGTCGTACGTAATGATATGTTGGTCACTGTCCGCTGCCGTCGCCGCGACATTACTGCTACTACTCGACAGCGCGTATTGTTTGGCCAACTCGTCGTACAGTCGCCGCTGTGATTGTTGGTCGCGGGCCAGTTCATAGATGGCCTGATCAATGATTTCGACCATAATATTGAAGCCGTCTAATAGTCCTCCGTATAGATTGCCGACCACTTCATCGTGTGTTAGAACTGTTTGTTGTCTATCCTCTGTCTCTAAGATTTTTTTTTTGAAATAAAAAATAATATATAAAATAATAAGTTTTTTAAAAAAAAAAACATACAGTAATTGTGTCTCTGATTTTTGTTAACAAAAAAAATAAAAAATAAATACTTTTGGATTCAGACATAAATGATAGTAAGTCTTGTAAAAAGTCGTTTTGTTGTTCAACACCTGCGGCGGCGTCGGTGGCCAGTCGTCTCTCAATGAGGTCGTCGATAACATTGATGTAACGTTTGGCCAAACCGTTTGGTGTGATAAACGATATGCCAAACAATCTTAACAAAAATTTCGGTAACAATATTCTCAATCTGGCCAACAATGGCGACGCATCGATAGCTTCCATAACATAACCGACCGATTTGTTTAGTGGTTTATCGCTGGGAAACCCGGTATCTTGTGATTGAAAACAATCGATCATCAAATACATGATAAATGATTTCATTGGTTTTCTGAGACCACCGGTTCCACCGTTTGATACGTGTTTGTCCAATACATTCATCAGCGCCTGTATGTGTAGAGTAATATAAAAGTTTCTAATAAATTTTCATTGAGTGAAAGTTTCTATAGAAATGTTGCTAATATTTTTTTCTAGAAATTTTCTAGAAATTTCTCTAATATTTTTTTTATCCAACACTACCTGTATGTCATCCATTACTTTCGTAGACATCCGTTTCATTCGCGATGAAGACATAAGCGTTTTATATATTTTTCTCGTTTGTTTCCAAGTATTATCACTACTGACGGCAACATTTTGACACAAAACCGGATGCTCTGAATATGACATAACCGGATCCCGTCCGCGGTTATAGAAGTAACGAAAATCGGTAACACAAACACGTTTGATGAGCTCCGGGTCGGTGATTGTCACCACTGGTGCGTTATATTTATATACACTGTTTATTAAGTAAAATATATTGAATTATTACTGTATTATTATAATTGTTAAAAAATTAAACTGCATTTATTAGTTATATATAGTATACTAAATAATATATACAGTATATTATATATATATATATATAAATCGGTCGCAAAATAGGTGAGACTGGTTTTTTGGCTATAACTTCATTAATAAAAGAAATTATAAGAATATTTTTTAATTGCAACTATGGTTTTCTGTCACCAATACAGTGAATTTATTACTTTTATTTTATATTGGCACCGGTATGCTAGCTCAGGGATGTATGATATCTCAGAAACTAAAAGAGATAATAAAAATCTGTTAATTTTAATTTATACATATTAAAATATAATTAGACACGTCTTTTAGCATTTTTAATTATATATAATAGTTTTTTAGTAAAATAAGCTTGATCATTAAAAAAGTGAAATTTCAATTTTAAATAACTTCTGAACCACACTGTATATCATAATGAAATTTTCAAAAAAAACGAAGTTTTGTTTTCTGAAATCTATACGAGCCTTTTTAGTGTGTGTGTGTGTGTAGCATTTCATTTTGCGAATTTTGAAATTCTGACTTCAGATTCGGTTAGAGGACTACTAATAATGTATTGAAAAGTTTAATTAAAATTTTGATATCTCTTCGGGAACATAGACAAAATGGCGGCCAAAGTAAAAAAAATTTAAGAAAAATTTTTTAAGTATAGATTTAAATAAAGCATCAAAAACAAGAATAAAAAATATTCATTAAAATTTTGATATATCTTCGGGAACATAAAGAAAATGGCGACCAAAGTAAAAAAATTAGGTAAAAATTTTAACGTTTAGAATTGTGAAGAGTATCAAAAATATGATATAATAAATCAGTATAAATTTTTTTAAATGGCGGCAAAAATATAAAAAAATTTTAAGAAATTTTTTTAAGGTATAGATTTGAATAAACCATCAAAAACAAGGATAAAAAATATGCATTAAAATTTTGATATTTACGGGAACAAAAAGAATAAGTATAAGCGGAAAAAGTATAATTATAGATGATTATTTTGTTATACTAAATCATTTGATACCACACATGAGTAGTTGATTATTTTGTCAAACCGAGTCATTTGATACCCCACATGACTATATTTGTTTATTTTGTCATACTGAATCATTTGATACCATACATGACAATATTTATATTATGTATATTTGACAAGTTTTTTAAATTTTTATATGTTATTATATAGCTGCTATAATTATACAAACTAATAGTTTTCAATGTTATTCAAGTTTTTTTTTCTGAAAATGCTTTCTAGCATTAACTGGTTTCTAATAAATTCTATAGTACATATAGAACATTTTATTAATTTAGGATAATTTGCTAAAATATGTAGTATTTTAGATATTTTCAAAAATATTATTCCCCATTATGATTATTATCAATTACTTTATTTCAATTAATAAATATTAAATATTTTTACTCAAATAATTATAATGGGGAATATTACTTTTATAAATATCTCAAAAACTATATGATCTAGCAAATTATCCTTAATTAATAAAATGTTCTATATGTACTATAGAATTTATTAGAAAAAATTTCATTATGATATACTTAGTATTAAGTTCAGAAGTTATTTAAAATTGAAATTTCACTTTTTTAATGATCAAGCTTATTTTACTAAAAAAAACTATTCTATATAATTAAAAATGCTAAAAGACGTGTCTAATTATATTTTTAATATGTATAAATTAGAATTAACAGATTTTTATTATCTCTTTTAGTTTCTGAGATATCATACATCCCTGAGCTAGCATACCGGTGCTCATATACAATAAAAGTAATAAAATCACTGTATTGGTGACAGAAAACCATAGTTGCAGTTAAAAAATATTTTTATTATTTCTTTAAATAAAGAAGTTATAAGCAAAAAACCAGTCTCACCTATTTTGCGACCGATTTTTATATATATAATGGTATATATAATATATATTGTTTTATACATAATTAATTTGTTTCAATTAACTAAATCTATTAAATAATGTATATTTTTAATGTAATAATAATAATAATAAATAAATAATAAACATATACCCAAATGCTTTGCCATATTTTTTAGACCATTGAATATCAATTTTATTGACATTTTTGGATAACCGAAACAATATGTTTCCGTAACCGATGACCGGTTTGGGACCGTTTATACCCAGTTTAGACCAGTAATTAAAATTACGAGTTAAATAACTATTTTCATATATATATATATATATATATATATATATGAATAAAGGCAACAACAAAAAAATCATTAAAAATTATAATTATTTATTTAAATTAATATAAAAATTAATTACCAGTACATAGCTATAATAATAACTATTATTGTTAAAATAATATAGTAAATAGCCATTATTTTTTTAAAAAAATATACAATAGACAACAATTTTCAAACAACAAAAATAATCAACTGAGCCTGGTTTGCTTGGGTTTATATCTCAACACAAAAACCAGTTGAGAATGCTAGAAAGCATTTCCATACGAACTTCTTATTCAAATTAAATTCTAATTTAATTAAGTAACTTTATAAGGTTGAAACTCAACCATAATCATGCGAGGTATCAAATAAATTCAGTTTAACAAAATAAACTCAACCATAGTCATGTAGGGTATAAAATGATTCAGTATGACAAAAACATTTTTTACACTTTTGCCTCTATTTTCTTTTTTTTGAAAAATGCTTATTTATTATATCTTATTTTTTATGCTCAATATAATTCCTAGCATTTTTTACCTAAATTTTTTTTACTTTGGTCACCATTTTTTCTATGTCACCGAGGAGATATCAAAATTTTAATGCTAATTTTTAATGACTGCTACTGATGCTTTATTCAAATTTATATTAAAAAAAATTTTGGACGCCATTTTCTCTATGTACCTGACAAAATAACAAAATTTCAATACTTATTTTTGATGCTTTATCCAAATCTGAAAACAAAATTTAAAAATTCGAATTTTTTTTTTTGGGACAGACATATAGACAGACATACAGAATTCATATACGTACTCATTTCAGGAGTTCGTGAAAATACGGTATAATCAAGTTTCATTAAATTATTAAATAGATCGAAAACGTCGAATAATAAGTAAAACAAAAAACAACAATCAATTAAAAAAAAATTAATTTTTTTTCAATAAATTACAATTAAAAAAAAAATACAATACATTAATGCAATTTATTCGTATTTATTCTATAAAACATATAATTTAAAGTTTTTTTTGTTTAATTATTTTTTTCTAATTTTAATAATAATTCTAAAAATAAAAAACAGATATTTTTTATAAAATTTGCTAGGGGGGATAAATAAAACCCGCAAATAGATCCAGTTGATTTTATAAATGTGTGTAACTTTATATATATATATATATAGATTATTAAGTAAATTATTTTTTTAAGTAATACACTATGTTGTTTTTTTATTAAACTTATATATTAAAAATTACTTACAAAACTTTTATTTGTTTAACTAAATTATGATAATGCATAATTTATATAAACAAAAATAAATTCAATATAATCTGTAATATACCGCTATAATAATACTGTAATAATATTAAAATTAATATTTATAATTTTTTAAAAAACAGATTTTAAATAAAAAATTTTATAATGTAATTTTAAAATTTACTGAAATATTTATGTTTAAATATTAGTATTATATTTATGTATTTTTATAATAGTTTTATTTAATAATAATGGAAAAAAATAAAAAAGAGCTGTATAAACTAAACTTTACATTTAAATACATATAATAAACAACTATACTATTAGTTTTATTTGTGAAATTATTTCTGTAATTTAGTTTTTAATTAATTAATTTTATTTATAATTCAATTAATAATTATTTTTAATCAAGTTTCATTAAATTATAAAATTGATCGAATAATAAGTAAAACAAAAACAATATAAAAATTTATTTTAATTATTTTTTATTAAACTTATATATTAGAAATTAATTACAAAACTTTTATTTGTTTAACTAAATTATGATAATCCATAATTTATAAAAATTAAATTCAATATAATCTGTAATATACATGTATAATAATACTGTAATAATATTTTAATCAAAATCATTGTATTTATAAAATTAAATTCAATATAAACTGTAATAAACAGCTATAATAATACTGTATTAATATTAAATTTAATATTTATAATTTAAAAAAAAAACAGATTTTAAATAAAAAATTTTATAATGTAATTTTTCAATTTACTAAAATATTTATGTTTAAATATTAGTATTATATTTATGTATTTTTATAATATTATAGTGACTTAAAAAATAAGCCATAAAATAGTTTAACACAACTAAACCTAATCTAACAAAACTAGTTTTTTATATACAAAAAAAACTAATTTCTCTATTAGTATCATATATTAGTTTTATTTGTGAATTTTTTTTTCGTAATTTAGTTTTTATAGTTTTTAATAATAATTATTTAATTAAAAAAATAATAGTTTCATTTAATTATTAATTTTTAAACATTTATTTTTAAAAAATAAATAATACATTTAATCAGTTTTTGCTAATAAGATGACGATGCTTAATTTTATATTGAATTGATTGATGTTTTGAATGATTATTATCATCCACATCATCATCATCAAGGTAAAAATGATAGCGATAAAACAAATTGGCCAGTATCAATTTGATAATAAGCCAGGAAAACGGTTGGCCAGCGCAGGCACGCGGACCGGTACCAAACGGTAAAAATGTGCAGGGTTGAATTTTGTCCCGATTTTGTCCCATAAATCTATCGGGATCGAAACGGTCGGGTTCGGGAAAATAATCGGGATTCATATGAATCGGATACATTGGAAACTCAATGAGTTGTCCGCGTCTAACAGTAATACCGGTGTCGGCCAACCGATAATCTTCGGCAGCTATACGACTGTCGCGTAAGTCATTAGTCATCAAACGCATCGATTCATTGATAATGGCCTCCAAGTACTTGACTTTGACGGACATGTCGTACGTAATGATATGTTGGTCACTATCCGAGACATTAGTACTACTACTCGACAGCGCGTATTGTTTGGCCAACTCGTCGTACAGTCGCCGCTGTGATTGTTGGTCGCGGACCAGTTCATCGATGGCCTGACCAATGACTTCAGTAATAATACTGTAGCCGTCTATCAGTGCTGCGTATAGATTGGCGACCACTTCATCGTGTGTTAGATAGCTATCTGTTTGTTGTCTGTCCTCTGTCTCTAAGTTTTGTTTTTGTTTTTTTTTTGAAATAAAAATAATAAGTTTTTTTCAACAAATATACAGTAATTGTGTTTTTGTTAACAAAAAATACTTTTGGATTCAGACATAAATGATAGTAAGTCTTCTAAAAAGTCGTTTTGTTGTTCAACACCTGCGGCCTCATCGGCGGCCAGTCGTCTGCCAATCAGTTCATCGATAATATTGACGTAACTATTGGCCAAACCGTTTGGTACCAGAAATGAAATGCCAAACAATCTTAACACAAATTTCGGTAACAATATTCTCAATCTGGCCAACAATGGCGACCCTTTGACAGCTGCCATAACATAACCGACCGATTTGTTTAGTGGTTTATCGCTGGGAAACCCGGTATCTTGCGATTGAAAACAATCGATCATCAAATACATGATAAATGAATCCATTGTTTTTCTGAGACCACCGGTTCCACCGTTTTCGGTGTTGTTGTTGTTATAAACCTGTTTGTCTAATACATTCATCAGCACCTGTATGTCATCCGTTACTTTCGTAGACATCCGTTTCATTCTCGATGACGACATTAGAGATGTAAATATTTTTCTCGTTTGTTTCCAAGTATTATCACTACTGACGGCAACATTTTGACACAAAACCGGATGCTCTGAATATGACATAACCGGATCCCGTCCGCGGTTATAGAAGTAACGGAAATCGGTAACACAAACACGTTTGATGAGCTCCGGGTCGGTGATTGTCACCACTGGTGCGTTATATTTATATACACTGTTTATAAGTAAATACTATATTGAATTATACTTATTTTAATTGTTATAAATTAAACTGTATTTGTTAGCATAATATTATAATTAGTTATTAGTTATATACAGTATACTAAATACTATATACAATATATATTATTATTATTATTATATATATATACAGTATATATAGTTTTATACATAATTAATTTGCTTCAAGTAACTAAATCTATTAAATAATGTATATTTAATATAATTTAATGTAAAAAATAATAATAAATAATAAACATATACCCAAATGCTTTGCCATATTTTTTAAACCATTGAAAATCAATTTGATTGACATTTTTCGATAACCGAAACAATATGTTTCCGTAACCGATGACCGGTTTGGGACCGTTTACACCCAGTTTAGACCAGTAATCAAAATTACGAGTTAAATAACTATTTTCATATATATATATATATATATATATATATATATATATATGAATAAAGGCAAAAACAAAAAAAATAATAATATTATTTATTTAAATAAAATAAGCAAATTTTTATTTTATTTATTGTGTAATTGCCATCAATATTTACCAGTAAATAGCTATAATAAAAACTATTATTGTTAAAATAATATAGTAAATAGCCATTATTTTTTAAACAATATTAAACAATAGACAACAATTTACAGCAACAACATCAACAATAACAACAAAAATCAACTGAGCCTGGTTTGCATGGGGTTTATATCTCAACACACAAAAAAACGGTATAACCAAGTTTTATTAAATTATAAAATTGATCGAAAACATTGAATAATAATAATAATAATAATATGTAAAACAAAAAACAACTTTTTCAATTTATTTAGTTTTTTAAATAAATGACTATCATAAAATACATCAAAGTAGTGTTGCATTATATATTTTTTGCAAGATCATTTAATTTAAAATTTTATTTTATATATATACTAATTTTGCAATTATTGAAAAATTAATAAAAAAAACAGATAATTAATTTTACTTGGTTTTATAAAAAAAAAAATTTTTGATGAAATTTGATCATATAGTTATTGAGATATAAACCCGCAAACTGGCCCAGTTGATTTTAGTAAATGTGTGTAAACTTTATATATATATATATATATATATATATATAGATTATTAAGTAAATTATTTTTTACGTAAAACAAAATGTTTTTTTTTATTATACTTATATATTAGAAATTAAGTACAAAACTTTTTATTTGTTTAACTAATTATGATAATGCATAATTTATAAAAATTTATAAATTCAATATAAACTGTAATATACAGCTATAATAATATTAAAATTAAAATCATTGTATAAATATTATTTTTATCATTTTATATTATCATAACATTTTAGTAACACTTTTAGTAAGTATTAATAAAAATTGTAAAATTAAATAATTTTTACTATATATAAAAACATTATAATTATTTTTTATTATAATAAAATAGGATTACAATTATATAATTATAATTATATATATATATAGATTATTAAGTAAATTATTTTTTAAGTAAAACAAAATGTTGTTTTTTAAGGTTTTTTTTATTATACTTAGATATTATAAAATTAATTACAAAACTTTTTATTTGTTTAACTAAATTGCATAATTTATAAAAATTAAATTCAATATAAACTGTAATATACAGCTATAATAATACTGTATTTAATTAAAATCATTGTTTTTCTAAAAATTAAATTCAATATAAACTGTAATATACAGCTATAATAATACTGTATTTAATTAAAATCATTGTTTTTCTAAAAATTAAATTCAATATAAACTGTAATATACAGCTATAATAATACTGTATTTAATTAAAATCATTGTTTTTCTAAAAATTAAATTCAATATAAACTGTAATATACAGGTATAATAATACTGTAATAATATTAAAATTAAAATCATTGTAATTATAAAAATTCAATTCAATATAAACTGTAATATACAGCTATAATAATATTGTAATAATATTAAAATTAAAATCATTTTATAAATATTATTTTTATCATTTTATATTATCATAACATTTTAGTAACACTTTTAGTAAGTATTAATAAAAGTTGTAAAATTAAATAATTTTTACTATATATAAAAACATTATAATTATTTTTTATTATAATAAAATAGGATTACAATTATATAATTATAATTATATATATATATATATATATATATAGATTATTAAGTAAATTATTTTTTAAGTAAAACAAAATGTTGTTTTTTAAAGTTTTTTTTATTATACTTAGATATTAGAAATTAATTACAAAACTTTTTATTTGTTTAACTAAATTGCATAATTTATAAAAATTAAATTCAATATAAACTGTAATATACAGCTATAATAATACTGTATTTAATTAAAATCATTGTTTTTCTAAAAATTAAATTCAATATAAACTGTAATATACAGGTATAATAATACTGTAATAATATTAAAATTAAAATCATTGTAATTATAAAAATTAAATTCAATATAAACTGTAATATACAGCTATAATAATATTGTAATAATATTAAAATTAAAATCATTTTATAAATATTATTTTTATCATTTTATATTATCATAACATTTTAGTAACACTTTTAGTAAGTATTAATAAAAATTGTAAAATACAAGTAAATAATTTTTTTAAATATAAAAACATTATAATTATTCTTTATTATAATAAAATAGGATTACAATTATATATTTTTAATTATAATTATAGATTATTAAGTAAATTATTTTTTAAGTAAAACAAAATGTTGTTTTTTTAAAGTTTTTTTTATTATACTTAGATATTAGAAATTAATTACAAAACTTTTTATTTGTTTAACTAATTATGATAATGCATAATTTATAAAAATTTATAAATTCAATATAAACTGTAATATACAGCTATAATAATACTGTAATAATATTTTAATTAAAATCATTATATTTATAAAAAATTAAATTCAATATAAACTGTAATATACAGGTATAATAATATTGTAATAATATTAAAATTAAATTCAATATAAACTGTAATATACAGCTATAATAATACTATAATAATATTTTAATTAAAATCATTATATTTATAAAAATTTAATTCAATATAAACTGTAATATACAGGTATAATAATATTGTAATAATTATTGTAATAAAGTATTTTTATAATATTATAGATGCTTAAAAATATATAAGCTATAAAAACTAGTTTAACACAACTAAACCTAATCTAACAAAATTAGTTTTTTTATATACAATAAAAAAAACTAATTTCTCTATTAGTTAATTATTTATTACGGGTATACACTAAACACAATGGTTTAGGTATACCATTGAACCCATAGTTTCCATAGTTGTCAGTATAGGCGCCCATATTATCAAACAATAGCCATTCGCCGGCAAACATCTCGACCATTGAACAGTTATCTTGAATACAGTCCCGACTACAACATGTCGGTCCCCATAGTATACTGTTATAGTTTTTCCGCTTAAGACTATCATCCGATGCCAGCAATGGTATGGGTTTATAGGTTTTCTGTATATAAATTGAATCTCTGAACGAACCGTAAGCGCCGTCATTCAAGTAATACATAATTTTTTCGATATTATTTTGTCCATCGATTACCAACTTTTTCGATAATATTCTGGTCAGTAGTGTTACGGCTGACTCGCAAAAGTAAGTGCCCGGTTCAGCCATAATTGATAGTCTATCGCCATAATCGCCAAAATAGTCATCGATAGCCCGGTTGACTACACGAGCTATTTGTTCAATAGTAGTACCGCAGCCGCTATTGTCTGGCGATTGACTAGTAGTACTACCGGGAAAACCGCCGCCAATGTTCAGTACTGTCATCTGATTATAGCCTATAGTTGCGGCCAAATCAAACACTTGTCGGGCACTGGCAATAGCCTGGTCGTACAATTGGGCATTTTGTGCGCCACTACCCACATGAAAGGCTACACCTGTTACCTGCAAACCGAGTTGTTTGGCTGTCATCAACAGATCGGACACACCGTCCAATCGGAGACCAAACTTATCATTCAGTTTGACTATTGAATCCGTGTCGTCTACTTTGATACGGACCTGTAGGCTGGCTTCGGGATGTATAGACTTGATATCATACAAATCATCCGTACAGTCGACAGTCATTAGTCTAATACCGGAATCGCGCGAATATTTCAACGATGACCAGGTTTTGCATGTATTAGCAAATATGATTGACTCGGGTTTGGCACCCAATCCTATCAAGTGTTGCATTTCATACTTTTTTAATGGATAACAAACAAACAAATTTATTAATATATAGATTTTAAATATAAAATAATAATAAACCATATATATAAAAATATATATATAAACAACTAACTATACCTGACTGGCACAATCAAATCCAACTCCCAGTTCAATAAGCACTTTAAGCAATTGTTGACTGGGATTAGCTTTGACGGCATAATAGGGACTAATTTTAGGCATTAGTCGAAACCATTGTCGATATTTTAGGACCAAATCGTCGACATTCAGTATACTATAAGCCAATTGACTATTGTTTAAATCAATTTTTTTGTTGATAAACTCTAAAAACTTTTTTTTTATAAATTTAATTAATAAACAAAATTTCAATCAATTTGGATTATCTAATACTTATATAATATTTAAATTTTATACTTATTTTTTGTTTGTTTTTAATACCTCTTTGTTTTCCATTGTACTAAAAAAAAGGTTAATAAAAATTAATTAATTAGTTTTTAAAAATATTTAAATATAAAATAATGATATTAATAAAATTTTTAAGTCTGTACTTTACTGTTTGCTAAGCTTTGTTTTGTTAAAACATTTTTTTTAAATTTTTTTTTTAAATTTTATATAATTCATTGGAATTATTTCTTAATCATTTACTTATAGACTTAATATTATAGGGAAATTTAGTTTAGATTTTAAAGGTGAAAACAAACAAAAAAAATATTTAAAATATATTACAAAATATAATAATAAGCTTTATATAACTAAAATTATTTTTATAAATGTTTTTTTTCAATTTTTGAAAAATGTTTTTTTTTTATAATTAATTACATTAGAATTATTATTAAAAAAAACTAGGGGTTAGGAATTACTGGGGGGTTAATATTAACGTAATATATATTCACAATATATATATATATATATAAACCTATAATTATTAATATATTTATAATATTACTAATATATTGATAATTTTTCTAATTGTATAGAAAATTGTATACAATTAGAAAAATTAAGATAAATGAGATAGATAAAATTAATTAATTAATCATAACTAGTATACCCTTAGATAAATATTATTAAACTTTAATTTTTTTAATTTTGTTTTAATTTTAATGTTAAATAATTAATGTATTTTTTTTAAAAAAAGAGAAAATTATATTTTTTTCTTTTAATTTTACTATTTATTTTTATGTTCATTTTAATTACTAAAAAATTATGTTTTTAATCATAAATAATAAAGTTAATTGCTTACGTAGTTTACTTAAATATGATAATGCATTTTTATTTTCAAAAAATAATGTTATAAATTAAAAATTTATAATTTATAAAAAAAATAAAAATTAATTAATTAAAAAATTTTTCTGATTAATAATCCTAAAATTGTGTTTGTATAGTAAATTTTATATAAAATTAATAATTATATGTATTAATTATTTAGTTTTTAAAAAATAAATATTTTACTTAATATTTAATATTATTATTATTATTAAAAACATAAGAAACTATTGAACATAAATAACAAAAAATGTTATTTTTTATAAGTATTATTATTATATTAATTTTATTTTATTGGTAAGAATATATCATTATTATTATTATTATTATTATTATTATTATTATTATTATTATTATTATTATTATTATTATTATTATTATTATTATTATTATTATTATTATTATTATTATTATTATTATTATTATTATTATTATTATTATTATTATTATTATTATTATTACATTATTTTGTTAATATTTAAAAATATTTTATTTATAATTTTATTATATTTTCTTTTTTATTAATAAATATATTTGAAATTGAAACTAATTGATTCAAAAATTAATGATATATACAATAAAACACAAAATTTTTAGTTATTTAAGCCGTAATTTTAACTATTGGTCGGACAGAGGCCTAAACGGACCGAAACCCTGGATATGGTTTGGAAATACATTCGAACAGTTGTTTCGTCCGATTTCTCACATCGATAGAGAAAGGCGTCAAAAATATGGACCAACTTATGGGTGATTCATAAATATATATAAAAAATAATTAGTATTTTCTTAAAAAATATTTAATTTATATTAATAGTGTATTTGAATCAAATGAGCCAATTATGATGACATCGGATCCAAAGTTAATCAAAAATATTTTGATCAAAGATTTCAATATATTTCGCAATTCAAGGCCAGCATTGCTAACACCAAGTGATCATCCAATCTATAGGTATGTCGTCGACAATACAGGCGACCAGATTTGGTTACGGATGCGAGCCGTCATTAGGACACTGTTTACCGAACAGAAACTCAGATCATTGGCCAAAAAAATTGACAGAAATTTAGTTGACTTAACCAATGAGTTGGACAATGAATTGGTTGGTCAGTCGTCATCGTCGTCAGCACTAGTAGTCGACATTAGGCAGTTGTTTGTCAATCAGTCTATAGATTTGATGGGAAGTGTTATGTTTTCGTGGAAACAACAAAATAATACCCAACTTATTAAGCGTTTATTTTTTCCCTCTAAATCAAGTATATTAGCCCAACTAGTGCTACCAAAATTCATGCTACAGGTGCTCAACATGTCGACCATTATATCTACCGAAGCGCTCGACCAGTTCGCTGAACTAACTAAACAGGAGTTAACTAAACGCCAGAAGACTACTGATACTTATGAAGACTTTTTACAATCGCTGCTCAATAGGTGTCCGGAATTTATGGGCAAAACTAATGAAACATCGGGTCAGACATCCAAATGATTGTTAAATTTTTTTTAATTTAATATAATGGATAATCCGTTTTATAACTTTTACATGTATTATATATACTAATAATTTTGTTGTTGTTGATAGAAATGTCATCAATTGATCAAATGATGACCGAAGAGGAAGTGGTGGCCAATATGTTCTCACTATTTCAGGGAGCGTTTGACGGACACTCACTATCCATGACATTCATTATCTACGAGTTGGCCATAAATCCTGATTGTCAGCAACGAGTCTACAATGAAATTATTAGTACCTGTTTTCAGGATAACAACAGCTCTACAAACCAAACAATTGGCGATCAGTTTGATTGGGAAATACTTAGCAAACTTGACTATTTGAATGCCTGTATATCGGAAGCACTGAGACTACACGCGGCTGTCAATAGAGACGGACGGATAGCCAAACAAGACTATATGGATGAGACAACCGGTTTGAGTTAACTATTATTATTTAAATTTATATATAGTTATATTATTTTACAAATAATTACAACTTTTTTTTATATAAAAAATAAATAATTAGGTGTTACCATCAAAAAGGATCAGGTGATCCAGTTTTCACGTTCAGCAGTACAGCGTTGTCCCGATTACTACCGAAAGCCCGACCAGTTCATACCCGACCGGTTCGTCAAACATAACAAACACCTATTGGTTGATTCAGCGTATCTGCCGTTTGGTTTGGGCCGTCGTATGTGTCCCGGCTATAAGTTTGCCCTAATGGCCATCAAATTGACCATGGCACATTTGCTTATTAGATACAAGTTTGTAGCAATCGATGGCCAAACTGTATTGAAAACCGATCCGATTGTCGAACACTATACCTATTGTCCGGAAAAGCTGTATTTGAAAATTGAAAAACGATTAATATTTAATTAAATAATTTTAAAACAGTTTAAGTTTTTAGTTATATAAGCAATATATATATTTATATATATATATATTATTGATAAAATTTAGCTAATAACTATTTACTATATTTTGATCTACTAATAGTATATATACTGTATATATATATATAAACTAATTATATATTTTTTATTATATGTATGTTAAAATATAAATACTGATTTATATTTTACATGTTGTTAAATATATTAATATTTTAAATTATACTTAAAACTATGCAAAGTTAAGTACTAAACAATCAATATATCAAAAACTAAACATAATAATAATAATAATGACTAAATTAATTATTTAGAATTAAACTAAAAAATTAGTTAATTAAAAATTTTATAATAAAATTATTATTCATTATAATGTATTGACATTATTTATTCATTTATTAATTATAAAATTAGTTTTTCAAACTAACTATTATTAACTTATTTTTTATAAATAAAAAAATAATAACATTTTTATATATAATTTAGTAATTTGTAACTCGTTTTTCAATTTTTATCAATAATTTTTGGGGACAATAGACTTATTGTTTCATTTGTTTTGTGTATAGTGTGTGAGAGAGAGAGAGAGAGAGAGAGAGAGAGAGAGAGAGAGAGAGAGAGAGAGAGAGATATTTACAATAACATAGGTTTTTAATTTTTTACTTAATATATTTATTTAATTTTTCATTTTTTTCAATTTTCAAATTTAATATACTGAAAATTAAAATAACTAAATAATATATAAATTGAATTGAAATAATAGTTTAAAAATATTTATACAATGATTATACAATTAATTAGTTACTCAATAACTTAGTTATGGAAATAAATAAAATTTGATTTTCATTTTAATATAATTTTTAAATAATTTAAAAATACGGTATATTTCCTAACAATGATTGTACTATTAATTAAGTACTAATAACGTCAATAAAATAATATTTAAAAAAAAAATTATTATCAAACTTTTGTTAAGTAATTAAAAGTGTGAATTGACAATTTATTTTAGTAATATTAAATACATACAATTTAATTTTGTAAAATACATTTAAGAATATCATATCGACCACACTTAATATGCACACAATCACAAAACTAGGATGACCAGATAAACAAAATATCGGGACCAACGAAAGACACTATGCTACAGGTCAAACTAAAATTGATAAATTTATTATGATAATGAAAATTTGTAGACAAGAAATATTAATTTAATATAAAAAAGAATCATCAAAATCGGATTGGTAGTTTTGTTTTAATGGCTTGTTAAGTTTGTCATAAATCCTATTATATAAAATAGTTTAAAATAATAATGACGTAATTTATGAATATTTTATGTTTATTAGATGATATTTTCAGATATATTACTAATTCTAAAAACGAAATTTTAATATGTCGACTAGTTTTCGAATTATTCGAATTTCAATATAAATCACACTATTGTAATTTGATATTATAATTTATATTGAAATTCGATTATTTCGAAAACGAGTCAAGTTATTAAAATTTCGTTTTAGAATTAGTAATATATTTGAAAATATCATCTAATAAACATATAATATTCATAAATTACGTCATTTTTATTTTACACTATTTTATATAATAGGATTTATGACAAACTTAACAAGCCATAAAAACAAAACTACCAATCCGATTTTGATGATTCTTTTTTTATTTTAAACTATTATTTCTTTACTACAAATTTCCCATTATCATAATAAATTTGTCAATTTTAGTTTGACCTGTAGCATAGTGTCTTTCGTTGGTCCCGATATTTTGTATATCTGGTCATCCTAGTTTTGTTATTGTGTGTATATTAAATGTGGTCGATATGATATTCTTAAATGTATTTTACAGAATTAAATTATCTATAACAGTTTAAAAGTTATTCAAAAAAATACGCGGCTCAAGATCAATTGACCGCTTCTTTATATATATATTCAATGAAAAACTACTTATAATATTTTTGCCGCCCATCGCCCGGCCAGTGTGTGGACAAACCGTTGACCAGTTTGGCAGCGCTGGCAGCTATCAGGCTATCAATTGTCGGACTAAGTGCAGTGGACAGTCGTTTTTTATTTCATTTATTTGCAACCATAAGATTATTTTAGACATTTATTTTAGTTGAATTAGAAAAAATTAAATTTAATAGTTTATATTAAAAAAAACTTTAAATTAATGAATCATTAAAAAAAATAATTTAATTATTTTTGTCAATCAACCAAACAGTCATTGCCCTAAAATACTTATTATATTTATATATAATTTTCAACAACAAAAAAATAAAATATTATAAAGTAATAAAATTTTAGTAGTTTTTAATATTTGATATATTTTATTAATAAAAAAAATATAACTGTTTTTTTTATAACTGGTTCATACATATAATAAATATATATTATAGTTTATTTTTTATTACAACATTTTGTCCATAAATAATTTAAAATGATCAATGCAATCTAAATTAATAATAAATATTATAGTTATTATAATAACTTCATTAGTTTTTTTCAAAAAAAAATCATACCATAACTAATTGTAAGCCAACAATCGGTACGGTTGACCATCGGTAGCCAATTTGGTCAGTCATGTAGCCGCCAATTGACGATCCAATTAAAAGTCTTATATAAATTTAAAAAATTAGATATTTTAAAGTATTAAAGTAATAATTTTTATTTTAAAAAAAAAATCATTGCTAACCCCATTGCCATTGCTGATGAAAATATACCGGAAATTGATGAATATGTGGACACATTGTCGGGAAAACCAGATTTACTAAATAATTATTATTAAAAATAATATTAAGAAATAATAATAATAATAATTAAAAATATTAATAAGAAATTATTAATAATAAGTACATTGTTTCGTGCATAACCTGTAGAAAAGAGCCTATAAACTGGGCGCCCATACCTAATCCAATAAATAACTGGGCAACTATTGGTGGCCATAATAATTTACTATATATATAATAACAATTTAATATTATATAGTAATATAAAAATTAGTAAACAATTTTTGTCAAAAAGTTTTACAATAATAATAACAAACTTAACCAACGATTCAATGGGCGGTATGAATGGCATCGGACCGGCCATTATGTAGGCTATCGTATAGAATATACAACCGATTAGACAAATAGGATTCAAATCTAACCAATGATTTTTGTTTAATATAATTTTGTCAGTAATATAGCCAAACAAATAACTGGATAATCCATATAATAGGCCAGTAATCATAAATATGGCCCCAATTGTGGCCGAAGATAATGTTTGGATCTATTAGTTAGTTAACGAAATATTATTATTAATTATATATGATATATATTTAAAATTTTGTTTTAGTTATTTTTTTTTGAAAATAATAATAATAATGAAATAATTATTTTTACTGAATCTAAATACAGTCGAAGTGTTGTTTCATTAAAACCCATTATTAGAAAACAATTGACACATATTATTGTATTGATTGTAACATTAAAATTGTTTAAAATACTGAAAACAGTTGTTTTTTGATTCATTGATGTATTATCTGATTCTATAATTAAATAATAAATAATTAAAATTATGTCACAAATAAATAATATAAAATTTAAAAAAAATTAGAAAATAATAATAATAATAATAATAAACTTACTTTTCTTAATTAATAAAATCGATAATAATATTGCGCAAACAATTTGCATTATACCCATTATAAAAAATGGTAAACTAAATCCTATATTATACTTTTCACCTAGCTATAATTTTAAACAAAAATCAAATTTTCATATATTTATATATTATTAGCATTAATTAAATGTGATTTTATTTTACTTGACTTAATATCCCTCCAATAGACGGACCACAGATTAGACCAATACTGTGACATAACTCAATAGTTGGCTATAAGTAATAGTAATAGTAATAGTAATAGTAATAGTAATAGTAATAGTAATAGTAATAGTAATAGTAATAGTAATAGTAATAGTAATAGTAATAGTAATAGTAATAGTAATAGTAATAGTAATAGTAATAGTAATAGTAATAGTAATAGTAATAGTAATAGTAATAGTAATAGTAATAGTAATAGTAATAGTAATAGTAATAGTAATAGTAATAGTAATAGTAATAGTAATAGTAATAGTAATAGTAATAGTAATAGTAATAGTAATAGTAATAGTAATAGTAATAGTAATAGTAATAGTAATAGTAATAGTAATAGTAATAGTAATAGTAATAGTAATAGTAATAGTAATAGTAATAGTAATAGTAATAGTAATAGTAATAGTAATAGTAATAGTAATAGTAATAGTAATAGTAATAGTAATAGTAATAGTAATAGTAATAGTAATAGTAATAGTAATAGTAATAGTAATAGTAATAGTAATAGTAATAGTAATAGTAATAGTAATAGTAATAGTAATAGTAATAGTAATAGTAATAGTAATAGTAATAGTAATAGTAATAGTAATAGTAATAGTAATAGTAATAGTAATAGTAATAGTAATAGTAATAGTAATAGTAATAGTAATAGTAATAGTAATAGTAATAGTAATAGTAATAGTAATAGTAATAGTAATAGTAATAGTAATAGTAATAGTAATAGTAATAGTAATAGTAATAGTAATAGTAATAGTAATAGTAATAGTAATAGTAATAGTAATAGTAATAGTAATAGTAATAAACTTACTAATAATTTAGTAAACTTATCTGGATACTCTAAGCTTATTATAGTCCAAATGCAAACTATAACTATTGAATTACTTAAACCTTCAATTGCTTTTAAAATTATAGCCATCATTATAAATGGTGTTTTTAAATATACCCATTGAAGTGCTCTAACATTGTGTGTAAATAAAACATTTTTTTTATCAATTTTCAAAATTAATTAACAAATCTAAACAAACCTATTATCAATACTATAATATTATTATTAATACTATAATATTATTATTGTTAGTAATATATAATATAATATTAATATAGATAACATACCCAAATCCAATACAATTTAGACCAAATATAAATGAACCAAAAATTAACATAAATTTTGGATTAAATGGCGGCATCTTTTATGTTTTATTAATTTGAGAACAAAATTGAAAACAATAATTATTAATATTTTTTTTAAAAAAAAATTAAACAAACCAATTTGATAACTATTGGCGAACCAATAATTATGCCAATTTGTGGGATAGCTATGATAATACCGATCCATGTTAAACTAATATTTTTGTTTTTAGCCTAGATAATTTTATTTATTATTATTATTTTTGTTTTGATTTTTAAATTAAATTTAAATCAAAAAATTTATTTATTAAACATAATGTCTGTATTATACAAACTACTTGACCAATTTTAATTAAAATTTTTAATAAATGAAGGCTATATACTTAAGTTTATACTGAATAAATAATATTTTATAAAAATTTTATAATTATTAAGTAGTAAATAAATTATTAAAAAGTTTGTTATTTATACTTTATATTCATTTTGACCGCCACCAGAATAGCGGACAGCATTCGTACGATTAAACATTATGTTAACCAATATTATAAAATAATGGGGGTCATCATTTAATTTTTATAAAAACATTTTAAGTATATTTAATAACTGTTTTTCAGTTGAAGTCATAGAGTGATTTTTGATTAATTATTGTATTTTCATTTAAATTTTTCTTTTTCAATTATATAATCATTAGTTGTCATTAGCAGTATATTAACACAATTAAAAGAAAAAAATTAAATCAATACTTATTAAGAATTTATCAAGTATAAAGATTTCTAATTTTTGTCATTTTTTAAGTAACTTTTTAGTTAATTAAATATATATCTTTAATTTTTAAATATTTATTTATTTTTATAATTTTATTATAATCTTGACTATATAATTGATATTTACTCAAATTTTTATTAAAATTGATCAAGTAGTTTTTAAGTTATTCAATCTCAAACCTGTACCAGATAGTTTTGAAACATACTGTATATATATATATATCAGGGTTAAGCAAGATTTTTGTTTTTAGAGTGGGGGGGGGGGGGGTAGGCCTTTAAAAAAAATTTCGAAAAATTTGTGGGGGTCTAGGCTAGGGTATAGAACTTTATTACATTTTTTAAACGGCATAAGTTCCCGTATAAATTCCCAGGAAAATAGGTAAATTTTCACAAAATATTAAAAAATATTTTTTTAAAAATTAAAAAAATTATATATGTATATATATATATCAGGGTTAAGCAATTTTTAGTGTAGGGGGCCTAGCGGGGCCAACTTGGATTAAATAAGTGAGTGTATATTTTTTTATTTTTTTTCAAAAATCCAAAATTAAGATAAAAATTCTTTTAAAAAAATTCGCGAATATTCCCAGAATATTAGGTATTATTTCCAAATAAATTTTTAAAATTTTTAATTAATTTCTAAAATATTTCTAAAACTTTTATTATTATTATTACCTCAATTGGAAACAATGGCGCCGACAGTGAAATAATAAGACCTTCGCATAAGTTTGCATAACATATCAATACAATTAATAATAAATGTTTTTGATTTTTAAAAAAATTATTGAAACAATTAAATAATTTGTTATTACTAATAGTATTATTAATAACATAGGTTTTTGATTTTTTACTAAATATATTTATTTGATTTTTCATTTTTTTTTAATTTTCAAATTTAATATAATGAAAATTAAAATAACTAAATATTAAATAAATTGAATTGAAATAATAGTTTAAAAATATTTTTACAATGATTGTACAATTATAATTAGTTACTCAATAACTTAGTTAATGAAATAAATAAAATATGATTTTGATTTTAATATAATTTTTAAATAATTTTGATTTTTTTTTAAAAAAATATTAAATAACTATTAGAACAAATTTAATAAATGATAAAATACGGTATATTTTCTAACAATGATTGTACTATTATTTAAGTACTAATAACGTCAATAAAATAATATTTTTTTTTATAAAAATATTATTTTAATTATATATATATATATAGTATTTATAATAATATCTTATATACTTAAAATAGTAGTTTTGTTTAAAAATTATTTAAGAATTATTTAATAATTATAACAATATTGTTTTTTTTATTAAATATTTATAAAATATAACCAATAAATATAATTTTAAATTAAATTAATAGATATTTATTTATAATAAAAATAATTAATTTTATTAGTTAATTTTGTAATTATAATTAAATTTATTTAAAATATAATTTAATATTTAGATTGCTTTAGATATTTTTACGTTTATTTAGATTTTACAATTTTAAAATAGTATTTTTTAATCTAAAAAATTACTAAAGAATTTTTTATAAAATTTTTATTTAATTAATTAATTAAAATAATCATAAATATAAATAGTAAAATTAAAATCAAAAAAAAAATATTTTCTGTTTTTTTTATTAAAAACATTAATTATTTAACATTAAAATTAAATCAAATTAAAATTAAAGCTTAATTGATTGTATCTAACGGTATAGTAGTTATTAAATTAAATATTTAAAAAAAAAATTAAAAAGCTTATTATTATTATTATATGTTGTAATATATGATATATAAAAATTTCAATGAATTGTAGAAATTAAAAAAAATAATTTTAATAAAACAAAACTTAGCAAATAATAAAGTACAGGACTTGATATTTTATATTTAATTATTTCTAAAAAACTAAATATTTAAAAATTATGCATTATCATAATTTGTTAAACAAATAAAAGTTTTTTGTATAATAATTAATTTCTAATATCTACTTATAATCAAAAACTTTTTTAAAAAAAACAGTTTTTTTTACTTAAAACTAACTTATTTAATAATCAGTAAATTAAGAAAATTTTCAATTATACCTAAAATATGATTAGAAACATAATTAGAAAAATTAATTTAGAAATAAAATTTAATTAAGTATATAATAATTGTTTGACTTTAAAGTTTACTAATTGTGTTGAGGACTATCTCATATCATTATCGCATACCTGGGCACCGATACCACCGAAACAAAACAAATAAAAAAATTAAAAATGTTTTCAAAAATTCTAATATCTATTGTCTTAATTAGTATTGAAATAATTGTTTGTTTTGATGATAATATTAATCTTGGTATAAATGGTTAAGTATTAATACTTTAAAATATCATTGTTATTAATAATAATAATAATAATAAAATATTAATATTTTTTATTTTAACAATTTAGGAAACTACAACAAATTCAAAAATCTGAGTATGTTAAAAACAAACAAACAAAATTTTAAATAATTAAAAATAAAAATTATTTATTTATATAAAACTAAACTATCATATATATATATATATATATAATTAATAAAATTATTTCAATACTTACGTAATATTTTATTGAAAATTACAGATTATAGTTACTATGTAATTTTTATTTAAAAAAAAATTATTACCTATTATTAAGTTAAAGTTTTTTTTAAAAAATAATAATTTACTAATTATTATTATTATTTTTCATAGCCATAACAACAAAAGCAACAATTGATGGCAACTTTTTTGAACAGTTTAGTTGCATTAGTAAACCTCAAAGTAAATTAGATTTTAAAAACATTTTCCGTACACTTGATTACAATATCAATATGACATGCAATGGTATTATTGTTGAAAATTATGAGGACATGGAGTATATGGTTGTTATGGGTAATGGAAACATTGAAACCGTACTGATTAGCAAACATGAAATCATTACGATTATTGATGGTAAATATTTTTAACAAGGCAATTTTATTAATATTATTTTGTATAAAAAATATTATTTTTAACCTAAAAAAATTAAATATTTAAGATTTTAAAAAAATAGTATAACACATTCCCATATCAATTAATAAGTTATATACAGTATATATACTGTATATATATTAGGGTATGTTAGAGTTAAGCAAGGGGTGGGGTAGGTGTTAGTCCAAAATACCCCCCTCCCTCTCTCTCTAAGATCAAGATATTTATTATTAATTTTAATAATTAATTTAACAACAAAAAAAATAATTAACGTTATACTTGTTGATGTAAAAATAAGTATAATTAGTTTAAAATAATATTTATTTTGTTTTATTAATTTTTAATTTTACTTACAATAAATAATAATAATAGTAAATTTTATTTATTATTAGGTGAACAATATCTACGTGAAGTTGGTATGATAGGATCGGGTCCCTGTGCCGGCACCAAACTTCATGGTTGGTCCATATTTTTGCCGCCAAAAGGCCAGTGTGTGGACAAACCGATGACCATTTCGCGGCCATTGTTCGAACACTGGGAGTTTAGCGGCACCTGTAAGGCCATATGCACGGGACAGTCGACTTTTATCTATCCAAAAGGCGTCCAAACTTAATGATTAGATTAAATTAGATTAACAATTAAATGTTTTAAATTTTATATATCATATATGATTTAGTTGTTTAGTAATTAATAATTATTGCCAATTATTTTAAATAAAGTACAATAATAACATTGTTAGATTTTAAAAAATATATTTTAGTTTATCTTATTAGTTTATTTTGCTTTATATATAAGGTTTTATATATATATATACAAATATATTCAAAATTATTATTATAATATTTAATAAATTTGTTATGCAATATATGCTTAATAAAAACTTAATTTGAGTAACAACTAGTACTTTTTCAAAGTTTCAATGTATATATGTATGTATGTATGTATGTATGTATGTATGTATGTATGTATGTATGTATGTATGTATGTATGTATGTATGTATGTATGTATGTATGTATGTATGTATGTATGTATGTATGTATGTATGTATGTATGTGTATGTATGTGTATGTATGTGTATGTATGTGTATGTATGTGTATGTATGTGTATGTATGTGTATGTATGTGTATGTATGTGTATGTATGTGTATGTATGTGTATGTATGTGTATGTATGTGTATGTATGTGTATGTATGTGTATGTATGTGTATGTATGTGTATGTATGTGTATGTATGTGTATGTATGTGTATGTATGTGTATGTATGTGTATGTATGTGTATGTATGTGTATGTATGTGTATGTATGTGTATGTATGTGTATGTATGTGTATGTATGTGTATGTATGTGTATGTATGTGTATGTATGTGTATGTATGTGTATGTATGTGTATGTATGTGTATGTATGTGTATGTATGTGTATGTATGTGTATGTATGTGTATGTATGTGTATGTATTTGTGTGTGTGTGTGTGTGTGTGCGTATGTATGTGTATGTGTAAGTGTGTGCGTATCAGACATTATATACAGAAGCTAGAGAGGCAATACTATTAATGCTAGAGAGGGACATCTGACGTCATAGCACAAGCCAACCTAAAAGTAGTATTCATAGTACAGCAAAATTGAGACCTGAAAAACAAACGCCACTAAACAAAATATGATAAAATAAAAATGCAAATAAAGATTTATTATAATTAACACGATTATTAATAAATAAATTATAATAATAATTAATAAAAATAAAACTTAAATATTAAAATTTTAAATTTGATTAAATATATAGTTTTATATAATAGACATTTATAAAAATATATCTCGTTATTATACTTTTATTATTAAAAATAACAACTTTAATAATAATAATATTAATAATCAATATAATAATAATTAAATCATAATTATAATAAATATAAGACTAATATTATTAATGATAATAAAATTGTTAAGAAACTCAAATTATCTTATTAAATTTTAATGTCTATTTTAAAATCAATACCTTTTAGTGCATTTAATACCTTATTTTGAATTTATTTATCTCATTATACTACCTGTTCCCGAGTAAGTACGAGTAACTGGCGTCAAGTGATCGATCATTCAAATTATCTAACCGTCAATATATTTAAACTATCCAATAACTGTACTCCCTGTACCTCCCTATTTTATAAATTGCAGTACTGACAATCAAACAGTCAGTACAATTCTAACTACCATTACTACCAGTCATATAGTATACACATACCATTGCATTCAACATACATGTGCAATTAAATATACTTTTTATATAATCATTGTTTTAACCACTATTTTAATTGTGTTAACTATAATAAAATATTATAACTAAATTATTGTCTTCACCTCAACGTTGAATCGATCACCACATCTACACTATTCATCCAACTCAAGCATCCAAAATTTACATTTCCCTGGCCATCCATACAAGTTATCAGTAGTATTAACGGATCTAGTTTTTCGAAACTATCAGTTGTTGGTCTCATACTTACCCAAGCAAAAAAACTGATCCCTAATTAACGACTACCACAAGAAAACAATCTATTCAAATATAAAATATTATTTAATGTCTTATTTTACACAATTTAATAAAATATAAACTATAGAAATAAATCTAAATAACCAAAACAGATTACTTTTATAAAAATATGAACTTTGTTTTTTGTTATCATAACTAAAATCAGATTTGTCATCAACAAGTTTATTGTGCTCAACTTCATATTTATTTTTAGTCTAAGAAACGTCTACAAATTATTATTTAATCAATTGCATATTTTTGATTAAATATATTATTTATTAAAAACTTAATTAGTAATATAGATTTATTTTTTTAGATGATTTATTATTCTGTTATATAAATAAAGTGGCGTCAGAGTCTACGGTCTCAATTTTTATGTTTGCTAAATACCGTCTCATATATCCTGTATATAATGCTTGGTGCGTATGTACGTCTATATTACGTGTGTGCGTCTATATTACCTAAATATGATTAAACATATTAAACATAAATATGATAATAAATTATTTTAGAAAATAAATAAAGAAAATCAATTAAATTCAGTAAAAATCCTAAATTTAATAAAAAAATTGCATAAATTTATAATAATATTATTTTATTGGTATTTGTAATAATCCTAAATAAGCGTTTGTAATGACAATTGTATAATATATAAGAATAATAAAAATTTGTATTCAATGATATCATTTAAAAAAACAAAGAGACAAACTATTATAACAATAATGTTATTATTATTATTATTAATAATAATTATTATTATATTAATAATTTTTTACTGGTAAGACTATAACATAATATTTCTAAAAATATTATTTTGATTTTGTTTTATTTGTAATCTTTTGAATATATATATACCAAATTTTATAACTATATATTAAAAATAAATTATAATTTAAATGATAATATAATTAATGATATTAAATTAAAACAAAAATTTATTTTTAGTTATCTAAACCGTAATTATAACTATTGGTCGGACAGAGGCCTAAACGGACCGAAACCCTGGATATGGTTTGGAAATACATTTGAGGAGTTGTTTCGTCCGATTCCAGTCATCGATAGAGAAAGGCGTCAGAAATATGGACCGACCTATGGGTACGAAAAAAATATACTATAAATTATTATCTGTATTAGAAAATTCATTTAATTTTTTTAATTTAATTGTAATTAATTTAATATTATTTTTGAAAAAAATAAATTCTTTAAAAAATCTTTAAAATTCTTTATATATTTATATATAAAACAAAATAATAGTGTATTTGATGGAAATGAGCCAATTATGATGACATCGGATCCCAAGTTAATCAAAAATATTTTGATCAAAGATTTCCAAACATTTGGCAAATCAATTACACCATTATTTTCGCCGTCAGTTCATCCGGTTTTCAGTCATACCATCGACAATGCAAGCGGCGATAGTTGGCTACGTATGCGGGCCGTCATTAGGACACTGTTTACCGATCGGAAACTTAGATCGTATGTTAAGAAAATTTCCGGCAATTTAGCCGAATTGACGAAATCATTGGATAAAATGTTTGGTAACGAGTTATCAATTGTTGTCGATATGAAACAAGTTTTTATTAATCAATCGATGGATTTAACTGGAAATGTAGTGTTTTCGTGGATGAAACAAAATCATACTGTTTATAATAATAATAATAATATTAAATTTACTAAACTTACCAAGCTAGTTAAACGTTTATTTTTTCCATCAAAATGGCGTATATTGGCCAGTCGTGTGTTACCGAAATTTATCGTACAAGTGCTCGATATTAACGACCTTATATCTAGCAGAGACCTCGACCTGTTTGCTGACTTAACGGCACAGGAGTTTAGTAATCGACAAATGATTTTATCTACCGATACCTATGATAGGGACGATAAAGACAATGATAACGATGACGACAACGACGACTATTTTCAATCGATGCTCAATCGTTGCCCGGATTTTATTATTGGCAAAAAAACTGGTAATTAAACTAACAAACAAAATATTGAAAATTATTAGTATTATATATATATTGTTATTAGAGTTCGTAAAACTTTACCCAGGGAGGAAAGTTCTCTCTAATATAATTTATCCAATTTTTTCAAGAAAATAAGAAATAGATTCTCTGGGAATTTCAAAGGGAGCAGGAATAGGGAACACAGGGAACACAGGGAACACAGGGAACACAGGGAACACAGGGAACACAGGGAACACAGGGAACACAGGGAACACAGGGAACACAGGGAACACAGGGAACACAGGGAACACAGGGAACACAGGGAACACAGGGAACACAGGGAACACAGGGAACACAGGGAACACAGGGAACACAGGGAACACAGGGAACACAGGGAACACAGGGAACACAGGGAACACAGGGAACACAGGGAACACAGGGAACACAGGGAACACAGGGAACACAGGGAACACAGGGAACACAGGGAACACAGGGAACACAGGGAACACAGGGAACACAGGGAACACAGGGAACACAGGGAACACAGGGAACACAGGGAACACAGGGAACACAGGGAACACAGGGAACACAGGGAACACAGGGAACACAGGGAACACAGGGAACACAGGGAACACAGGGAACACAGGGAACACAGGGAACACAGGGAACTTTTCGAAAATAAAAAAAACGAAAGAAAATTTTCCAAAACCTAATTGTTATATAAGTTATATATTATTATATACAGTTTATATATATATATATATATATATATTTGAATATATCTAATGTATACATTTGACATTACATTTAAAATAATAATTTTAATTGAAATTATAAATTTTTAATTATTCATTAATTTACAGATCAATCAAAATTAGATCAATTAATACTAACCAAACAGGAAGTGATTGCCAATTCATTTACAGTATTACAGGCAAGCTTTGAGGCACACTATCAGTTCATGACAGCCATTATCTATCAGTTGGCCGTAAACCTTGATTGTCAGCAACGAGTCTACGATGAAATTATGACCTGTTTTCGGGACAATACCGACACCCACGACACCGACACCAACACTACGATAACAATTGGCGATCAGTTGTTTGATTGGCAATCATTGGCCAGACTTGACTATTTGGATGCATTTATTTGCGAAACATTTAGATTGCATCTGAATTTCGATAGAGACGGACGGGTAGCCAATCAGGACTATACAGATGAGACAACCGGTTAGTTATAGTTATTGTTTATTTAACAAAAAGATTTAATTATTAATATTGAGGATTTTTTTTAATTTATTTATTTACTAATAATTTAAAGTTCGGAAAATTTTTTTTTAAAAGGAAGGAAAGTTTCATAATAATAAAATTCCTGGAATAATAAAAAATTTATATATTTATTGAGAATTTTTTGTAAAAAAAATTATAAATTTAATTTCAATGAATTTATTGATACTATCTTAAAAAAAACAATAACACTTTACAACACACACAAAAAAGTTTAAAATACAAAATTTAAATAACAACTAATTATAAATATATAATTTAAGTTATTTATGATTAGCGTTTATGTGATAGCATAAGAACATAATAGATTCTCTGGGAATTCCCAGGAATTAGTAGGAAAAATAGGAAAAACTTTTGTGATAATAATAATACTATGGAGAAAATAAATTTGAACCCGAACCCAACACAAAATAAATGATTATTTTAATTTTTTTTTTGATTTGACTTTATATATATGTATTGTATTTTATTTATGTTTTTTTTACTTAAATACCGTAATCATAACCATGTTAACCATTTTAATAGGTGTGACCATCGAAAAAGATCGGTCGATATTTTTTTCACGTTCAGCATTGCACTCGTCTACCGATTACTACCGACAGCCCGACCAGTTCATACCCGACCGGTTTCTCAAATCAAATCGACACCAATTGGTCGACTCGGGGGCCTTTCTGGTCTTTGGTTTCGGCCGTCGTATGTGTCCGGCCTATAAGTTTGCACCGATGGTCCTGAAATTGACCGTGGCCCAATTGCTGGTCGGCTACAAGTTTTTACCGCCCATTGATGGCCAGACTACTGTTGAATGGAAAGTCGATCCGATTTTCCAACACTATGTCTATGCACCCAATGATTTGTATTTGAAAATTGAAAAACGATTATAAAATGTTTGTTTTTGATTTATTTCTTTTATATATATTTTTTTGTGTGTAGTTTTTATTGTTATAATAATAGATATTAATAAATGATTTTTTATTTTATTTAATATTAGTTTATTATATCTACAGTATATACTATATATAAACTTTATATATTTATATTTATATTAGATTGTATATCAATAATAAATATATTTAGGATATATTGAATAACTAATGAATTGTTTGATTTATAATTTAGCAATAAATAAATAGTTTGTTTTTAAAAAAAAATTAATAAATATTTATTGTTGATAACCATTAAATTAGTAATCAATTTTGTTTAATTTTAAAAAACTTAATTAAATAAGCATTTTTTGTTTTATAGCCATATAATACTAAACAGTTTTATTAAATAAAATATTCAACAATAATTTTTTTTTTAAAAATTGACCCTGGCAAGTTTTTACTGACCATTGAATGAATTAATTGAAAATCTTTATAAATAATTAAATAATTTTTAAAACACATATATTTAAAACACTTTACTATTTTTTAAAAAATATTTTAAATATGAAAAATAAAACAATTTAAATAAAACAATTAGATTATATATTGCATACAAAAAACTAAAAAATTATAAAAATTATTATTTATTTTAAAAAAAATCATTTATAACTTTTTAATTTGTAATTTAATTATATTACTATTAGGAATATGGGGGGGGGGAAATAACTGAACAAATTTTAATCTCAAAAAAATTAATAATTATTTTTTAACATTTTGTTTTTATAATTATTGAATATTTAGAAATTAAAATTACTACTACTAATAATAATAATATATTAAAATTATTAGTACATAAAAAATAATTAATTAAGTAGCAATTAAAAATGTCTGAATATTTAATACTACAATTATAAAATAAATTATCTAGCTAAGTTATTAACAATAGTATAAAAGGTTTAAACAACAACAACACATATATCATAATAGATAAATATATATATATATAAAAATATATATTAGTTATTATCAGATTTATTTAATATTTAACAATTATATGCAATAATACGTAAATTATAGAAATAGTAACGCAATTCACTGATAGTATTATCGGCTAAAAACTGTTTCCACGACCCGTTGGTGATAGGGTTATGTTTGTCGGGCGCCGACACCGATACCGATCCGGCGTCCGGTAGACTAAAATGTGAGTCAAATACTAAATCCCAGAACTGGTCGCTATTGAAGTAGTCGTCATCAAACTTATACCGATCCGTACAAAATGGCCGAAAACTGTTAATCAATTCGGGCATAAAATCTGAGAGTTTTTTTTATAATTTATTTTATTTTTAAAAAACAAACAAACATTATATTAATTATTATTATTATTTAGTTAGTTATTAATAATTAGAAAAAAATTAATTTTTTCGTTATTTTCAATATATATATCTATAAATATATATTTATATAACTTTATATATATATATATATATATATATATATATATATTTATATAATTATATATATATATATATATGATATATATATCAATAATATAATAATAATATTAAACAACTAACCGATAACCTGTTTGCGATTTATTAAAATATTTTCGGCCATTAGTTTGAAATCTTTGATATGAAATCCATTGTCAACTAAACCCAGTTTCCAATCATCTAATTGTTGATCAATGGATGGATACCATTGTTTTTGTTGTTGATCCGTACTATTCATTATTTTTATTTAAATCTTCATAAATAACAATATTTGCAAAAAACAGTCCACTGCTGGTCAACAACCGCCTAATTATAGCCATCACTTGTTTCTTGTCTTTCAGATACTGTAGCATAAAGTTACTGAACAGTAGATCCACTTTCGACTCCAATTGACTGATCCGTGGACTCAACTCAAGCCACGAGGCGTTCATGTCTTGTAAGACATACTCAATGGTCGAGTCGTCCGTATTGTTAGCCACAGCGTGTGTCAACATTTCGGGTACGACATCGACGGCCACTACTTGTTTGTGCGGTACGTTTTGGGACAACAATTGGTTAACTCTACCGTCACCGCAGCCCAGATCGACAATCAGATCGTATGAACTGTTTGTTAAATTGTTTATTTAATTTATATATATATATACATCAGGGTTGCTAAATGTTTTCGATTTCAGGGGGGGGGGGGGGGGGGGGGGGGTAAAATGGTAAAATTTTCGAAAAAGCTTGGGGGTATAGGGGGGGGGGGGTGAACATTTTTTATTGCATTTTTAAACGACAATTTTTTTCAAATTTGAGTAAATTCCCAATAAATTCTCACTAAATTCCCACTAAATTCCCACTAAATTCCCACTAAATTCCCACTAAATTCCCACTAAATTCCCACTAAATTCCCACTAAATTCCCACTAAATTACCACTAAGTTCACACTAAATTCCCACTAAATTTCCACTAAATTTCCACTAAATTCCCACTAATATATATTATATATATATATTCACTCTATCTATATAATAACTAGTGAATGAAAATATATTTAATTAAATAAATAAATTTTAATTAAATATTATATACATTTAAAATATAAATACATACAAAATATTTAATTAAATATTTAGCATTTTTCGTAAATATAATAAAATATTAATACATAAAACTGTAAATATATGCATATCAATAGTGCTGGTCATCAAAAATCATTGAAAAATTGGAGATCAAAACAAGTGTCAGTACAAGAATCACTACTAACACCAAAAAAATGATTTCAATAGTGATTTGTATGAACTGTTGGTGACATTGAATATACCGTTTCATAAAATGATAATGAAAAATAAATATTTAAATAAATATTTTGGTGTTTTTTAGAAAATAAATAAATATTTTGGTATTTTTTAGCAAATATTTAAATAAATATTTTGGTATTTTTTAGCAAATATTTTATTGAATATTTTCAGTTTTTAAATAAATATTTTTTAATGCACTAATAATAACCCACTCATTCACCCACTCATTCACCCATCCATTCACTTATCTTTCCCAACAAATACACATAAAAATAACATATAAAACAAACAAACAAACAAAAAATTAAATACCTTTTTTCATTAATAATCAATTTTAATGTTTCAATATTAATAGCATCCCATTTGTTAGAAATTGTAATATAATTTTCAGTCGATAATCGATTCATTGTTATATTTATTATTATAGTTAAAATTATCTAAAATTAGTTTTTTTTTAAAAAAAGTAAAAATAAAATTTGTCTATTATAATTTTAAATTTTATTTTAATAATAATAATTAATACTAATAAATAAATAAATAAGTTGAGTTTAATAAACAAATAAAACTTTACTGTTTAGTTAATATTTTATACAACAATAAGCTATTACTTAATTTGAATTGAATTTTATATATTTTTATTTTTATTGCTAAATAATAAGGTTAGCAATTAATTATAGATTTTTAGTTATTCAGATAAAACTAGTTATAATGATTTACAAAATTTAATTAAAGAAAACATTGATTATGAAATTTATTATGAAATTTATGAAAAAATAAATTATATATAGTAAGTTATATATATTTTTATTAATGTTTTAACATTTAATAAAAATAAGTTACTTTTAAAAAAAATTAAATAAAACTAATATATTGAATATATATATATCAATATTTGAATATTAATTTGCAAACAATGTAAAATTTAAATAACTTAAACTAATATTAATTATACAATTAATAATAATATATTTGTTTAGTTATTATATAATGTTTAAAATTATTAATTTGAATATTATATCAATATATTAATATCTATAAATAATTTTTTTTTGATCATTTTTAAATAGAAATTTAAGTTAATATTAATAATTGTAATTAATTATTATTATTATTATTAGTAGTAGTAGTAGTAGTAGTAGTAGTAGTAGTATTAGAATTAATTTTATTTACTAACTAATATAATATTTAACAATTAGATTATAAATTTAATTATATTTAAATAATAATTAATTTCATTGTACATGTATATTTTCTTAAATATATATTATTTAAAATTTTTACTCATAATATTAAACATTTTTATATAACTATTTTTTTATAAATAATTTTTATAAAAAGTCATAATGATAATATTGAAAATTTAATATACATACATATTTAATAAATGATTATCAAATGTGTGTGTGTGTTTTGTTAATTAACTAATTAAGCTTTAATTAATAATTTTTTCTTTAAATAACTAGTATTTTTTTAAAAATGTTGATTCAATAATGTAATTGATTAAGTATTATATTTATATAAAAAAATAGTTTATATTATAAATTTTATAACATATTTAATAATCATAGTTAATCTAATTAATAAATATGTTATAAATAATCAATTTTTCCAAATTTTAATATTATATATACTGTATATATATATGTTACTGTTATTATTTTTTTAAAATTTATTTAACATAAAAAATATATAATTAATAGACCGGTAATCGGTCCGGGAATTGGCGGTTATATGTTTGGGACAAATGGACTATCGATGGGCAACCGTACCCATAGTTGGCCTACAATTGTTTGTTGTATTTAAATAGCAAACAATTTGATAACAATTTTTTTATATATAAATTATAATTATTATATTTTTTGAAATTATTTTACATTTTATTTTTGTAGATTATATTAATTATTTCATACGATCTGTGGTCAAAATACAGTATATATTTAAAAAAAAATAATTATATATAACTTTATACTGTATTTATATGTTTTATAGTCATAAATGTTATAATATTTATATAAACAAAACTTATTATATATTTTTCTAATAAATAATATTATTAATTAATTTAATAATTAAATAAATAAAATATTTCTATTTTTGTTATCTATTATAACTAACTTTTAGTAACTAATAGTAACTAATTTTCTAGTTACTTAATTTTTATTTTAAACTTTAATATTTTAGTTATAAATGAAAACTTATTGTTTATTTATAAGCCATAACTCTTAAAGTATAATAATTGTAACCCAATTCACGGATAGTATTGTCGGCCAAAAATTGTTTCCACGCGTTAGGGTTGGCCACTGACCCATCAGCCGCTGCCGCCGCCGACTTCGAGTCCAGTGGACTAAAATGGTTGTCAAATACAATGTTCCACAACAAGTGGTCACTACTGGCTAACTGGTCATCAAACTGGTGTCCGCTGTCGTGTAAATAGTCGTCAACAACTACTGGCATAAAGTCTAAAACAAAATTATTAAAAAAAAAATTTAACCCAAAAATATATATTTATATATATTTTAATTCTATAAAAATTCAGTTATAATTTTTTTTCTAAATAATAATTATTATTATTATTAGAAACACAAAAAACAACTAAAACACTAACCGATAATCATTTTACGATTCATAACAACTATATTATCGGTAATTAATTTAAATTTTTTAATTTGAAATCCATTGTCGACTAAACACTGT